TATCCTTCTTACTACAAAGGTCTACTATAAAGTTAAGCGCGTAACACACGCAAAGAGGTTAAAAGAAGCTTACACATTAGAACGTTTTTTAACCTGCTGCTGCTGCTACTGCCTTAACAACTTTAGCAACACTCTAAGCGCAGGTAGCTTTAATAAAGAATGCTATAACCTACTACTTATGCTATTAGCTAGAACATATAAGTTGTAACTGCTCTTACGCCTACGCTAAGAGTAAAGCTATAGAAGCAGCGCAGAAGCTAGACGCTGTAAGCTCTAGTAAGGATAGTAAATTAAAAAAAGACTTACTTTAAAAAAAGTTTTCTCTTTAGAGTTAACAGACAAAGCGCTAGCATAAAAGCTGTGTAAGCTGCTATTTAGCAGTAAGCCTTTTATGCTGCCTTACTGCGTCTTTGCTAGAGGAATTACTATACGCTTAAACAGTCTTATTAACATAAAGGCTAGCAGCTATAATCTAATTTACCTACAACACTTACAGACAATCTAGAAGCACCTACAGCCTAAGATGCTTAGCATTAAGTCTATCTTTATTGCAGGATATAATAATTAACTAAACAGACAGGTAGACAAGTACTTTTACATAAATTTAGTAATTAATAGCTACTAGCTACCTATACTTTTTATTTTCTATAACATAGGCTGTTATAACTTAATTATAGGCTATAAGGTCTTTAAAAAGGCTAGTGTTTAGATTAACTATAAAGAATAATTAATTTAGTAGCTAAATAATAATTAGACGCAGGACTACAAGCATAATATTATTGTCCCTACACGCAGCGCGTTTTTACAGATTAACTAATCTTATTAAGTAGACACTAACTAATAAAATAAGTTTATAAAGATATTAAAAATTAATTAATACTAACCTTAATTAACTTAAAAGCATAATTAGTAGTAGAACTTAAAAAAAATAAAAAAGTAACTTAATCTTTAACTAATACTCCCTAGCGCTAATTAAGCGCGCTAATGTTAACTAGCTGTCTCTAGAAAAGCACTTGCTAAGGTAGGGCTAGAGGTAAATGTAATTAACACTGCTGCATTTATGCTACACGTAAGGCGTAAAGATATTATAATTAGACATATTAGCATTTATAAAGTTAATTAACTAATTAAGGACTGTTAAGCACCTGCAATAGTTAATTCTAAGAATAAGCTCTAACAGCTAATGCTTAAGAAGTTACTATCCCCTGCGTACGCTAGAGCTACGCTAGCCTACTTCTTAAAAAGAGACTTAGATAAACTGCTGCTACACTAACTTAGCGTTAACTATAATATTAAGCTAATAGCAAAGAACACCTTATTAAGCAGCTTGCTATACAGCATGTCTCTAGAGCAGCTTAGGCTAGTTAAGGACTATCTAGATAACTACCTACAACATAGATTTATTACGCACAGCAACGCTAGCTACACTTCTCTAGTCTTATTTACTAAGAAGCTAAAAAAAAAGTAAAGGTTTTATATAGACTATTATAAGCTTAATGTAATTATAAAAAAAAACACTTACCTAATACTTTTAATCTAGAAGACGCTTACACAGCTAGCTACAGCTAAGGTCTTTACTAAGCTTAATATATAATAGGTGTTTTATTGCATCTAGCTTACTAAAAAGGTTAAGGACCTAACTACCTTTTAAACACACTATAGCAACTATAAGTATTATGTGCTGCCCTTTAAACTCTATAACAGCTCTATAACTTTTTAGTAATATATTAATTAGGTTCTACATAGCCTACTTAATAACTTTTATATAGCCTACTTTAACAACATTTTAATCTACTTAGACAACCCCTTGCAGCATAAGGCACATGTTGCTAAAGTCTTACATTATTTATAAAACACTAGCCTGCAGATTAACTTTAAAAAAAGTAAATTTATAGTTACTAAAATAAAATTCTTAGGTCTTATTATTAGTATAAATAGAATTTGTAAGGACTCTACTAAGGTAGCTGCTGTCTAAAACTAGCCTATACTAACTTTAATTAAGAGCTTATAGTTGTTCCTAGGGTTCTACAACTTCTACTGCGCCTTCCTTAAGGACTATAGTTGCATTATACAGCTGCTTATAAAGCTGCTTAAGTGTGGCGCCTAGCATCCTTTAAAAAAGCATAAGTTAGCTGTGTTTAAGCGCGCTAAGGACCTTATGCTGTTAAATAACATCCTTGCGCACTACTTACTAAATTATAAGACGTGTATAAAGACTAACGTAAGCAACAGAGTTATTACAAGAGTACTATTACAGCTGCAGGACAACAGCATCTGGCGCCCTATAGCGTTCTACTCTAAGACTATAAGCCTGCTGCAGATAAACTATAATATATATAATAAAGAAATGCTTACAGTTGTCTAAGGCTTATAAAAGTAGTAAGTGCAGCTAATAGGCCTATAATAAGATAAGCTATTTATAGTAATTACTAACTACTAAGCTCTTAAGTACTTTGCTATTAAGCGTAAGCTTACCTTTTACTAGATATAATAAGCTATGCTAATAGCAGACTTTAACCTTACGCTAACCTACTGCCTAGGCACTACTAATGTTGTTATAGACGCGCTGTTAAGGAAGTAGAAAGAGCTTAAAACACAGAAAGAAAAAAATAAAGCTGCTTATACACACTTTTTTCTAAGCTAAAAGTAGATTAGTGTTAGTCTTATTACTTAATTACACGCTGCCCTGTAGAGCACCTCTCTGCTAAATAAAAAGCTTATAAAGCTGCTGCTAATAGATTAACTGTATAAGCTTATTAATTAAATTCTAAATGCTAATTAGAATTATAAAAGCTTATAATACTACTATAATAAAGCGCAGAATCCTAGCTTATAATAAAAAATTAATGCTAAGGGCCTACTACTAAAGGAAGGGAAGCTTGTAGTTCTAGCTATCTAGTTCCTAAGGACCTACTTTATCTGCGCTGTTTATGCAACGCAACTTACTACACATCCTAGAACTAAGAAAATAACTAAGCTGCTGCGCAAGTAGTACTACTAGCTAAGTATAAGCTAGAACATTAAGACCTACATTAGTGCCTATAAGGCCTGTTAGTAGAGCTATATCTTTTAAGATAAGACCTTAGGGCTTCTTAAGCTACTACTAATACCTAAGTAAGCATAGCAAAATATTTTTATAAATTTTAAGTTATTTCTACCTAATTAAGCTAGCTATAATAATGCGTTTATTATAGTAGACTGTCTAAGCAAGCGCTGCTTCTTACTACTATGCTATAAGACTATTACTACTATAGGGGCTGCAGACCTATACTATTACCATATCTAGCGCGTCTATAGACCTTCTTAATTAATTGTCTTTAACTATAGACTATAGTTTACCTCTGCATTTATAGATAAGCTTTACTGCTTTACTAGTGTTAAATAAAAGCTTTTTACACTCTACTATTCTTAAACTAACAGCAACATAGAGGTGCTAAATTAGTATATTAACTAGTAACTGCGTCTATTTGTTAATTACTTCTAAGACAACTAGTTAGACCTGCTGCCCTACATAGACTAAGCTTAAGCATCTCTACTGCATAAAATAATAAGGTTATTACTGTTTAAAATTAAGTTTAGCTATTATCTAACACACTACTAGGACTAAGAGGCATGTATAAAACGCTTACTAACTGCGCTAGAGCAGATTTTACGTAAGAAGGCTTAGAGCTATGCTAAGCTCTACTACAACACTATATAACAAGTAATTAAGATTATAAGGAAAGGCATTACTTAAGCCTAAAAGTAGTAAGCAGCTTAGGTAAATAAAAAGCAGTGTAAGCCTAACTTTATAGTAGGCAACAAGGTATACATAACTCTTAAGGGCTTTACTATAGGGCGCCCTAGCTAGAAGCTTAACTAGCAGATGTACAGGCCCTATCTAATTATAGGCATAAGAGGTTATTTGTACTAGCTTAAGCTCCCCCTGTACATAAAGATGCACAACGTCTTCCACGCAGACTGCCTACAGCAGGCAGCACCTACAACGCTGCTAGGTTAGGTTAAGCCTCTAAAGGAGCTAATTAAAGTTAACAGTTACTCTAAGTAGCAGGTTTAGGACATCCTAGATAGTTATGTCCACCGCAGGCGTCTCTAATACTAAGCCTTATAGGTAGGCTATAATCCTAACCCTACCTAGTATAATGCTAACAGATTCCTTAGAGCTCTGCATAAGGTAAGGGACTTCCACTAAGCATATCCTACTAAGCCTAGTCTGCTAGCGCGACTAGACGCCTAGTTGCAAGCGTATAAAAAAGGTAAAGATATAAAACTTATAAAGGTTAATAATTAACCTGCGCTAAGGTCTTAACTAGTTTAAAGACTAACATAGAGGCGCTAAACTACCTAGTCTTAGGGATAAGACTGCCTTAGAAGGGGGTGATGTAACGGTCCTACGCAGAGAGCTCTGTCGCGCTTCACATAACAAGCTGCCTGTGCAGCTAATTAGGATATAGGGGGTGCGACTAGCGCAACACTATTAGTTTGCTTAGCGCTAGCGTCCTTGCTAGCGCCTTAGCGCCGCAAGCACTTCTTCTGCAGAGCTGCCCTTAAAGCTCCTTTTCTCCTCTCTATCTTAGTGTAGCTGAAATAGAGCTGACCTACTCTGCCTTGCTTCCCTAGCTCCATACGGTAGTAGAGACAGTGCTTGTCATCACATTTGCTAGTAAACCTAGTGCGCGCAGATTAGAGCGCTTAAAAACATTAGCATCTAGGACAATTCTATAGTATACAGCTAGATTGTTATTAGAAGTTAGTAGTTACTTTACTAGACTTAGCTTTTTTAGTTTCCTTACTATTAAGATTACTAAGGCTTAGGCAGAGAGCATTAGGCCTGTTTACTGTCTAATGTTAGTTGTATTTTATTATCTGCTAGCATTAGACTAGCTATATATACTTACTCTTACTTATTATTAACATAGAGCCCTTTGTTAAAGTTTTATAGTTAAGTAAAGGAGTAAGAGAGGCGATTAGTAGACATATATTAGATGCTGGCCTGTGCGCTAAGCGAGACGCCTGATTATGTCATCCAAGCTTCCGAAAAGGAAGGCTAATACCTGCTCGTCCGAATCAACAACCGACCGTGAATGCAATCTTTGAAAAGTTGCAGAATAGGCAATAGGCAATTCAGCACCTAGCAAAATACCGATGGGAAGATGCGTAACCAGCAGATAATGAAGTCTGCCAAATCGTGGTCCTTGCAGTAACTATCGCTCACTTCAAAGAGAACATTGAGTCGGCATACTTCCCGCTGTGTATATGTGCGGTGTGCTATGTGCACAACCTGTAGGAGGATCTTGCTGATTCAGCTTGTCTAGATATTGAAATGCTCATAGTGTTAGTCATTTAGCATTCTCACAAGAAGGGATACTCAAACACTTCGCCTGGATCCTATAGTTGCAGAAAGCACACCCGTCCGCGGCACTCGCCACCGAAACAGTCTTTCCTTCTAGCCGATTTGAGACCTAGAGTCCATGCGATCGCTGTCTTCCGCTCGCAATACTCTTGATTGACACCAGTCTCCAGGAAACATCCATGTTGCCAGTTCTGGTCAAGGTCGTTCGATGCCTCACCGAAAGGTCAAGGTTCCCGCAAGCTAGGAAATATGTTCCACCTAGGGAAGACTCAATAAAGTGCAGCAATATTTACGACACAAAACCATTGAAGCCTTATTAGTTTTAGAATTTTTGAAATACGAGCTCGGACTGTATAAAGAAGCGTGGGCCAAATAACAGAGCGTACGCCCCCTGAGGAAAGATTTGGAACCGATCGATAAGATCTTCTTCCAGGAGGACATCTAACTAAGGGTGCTTCAGAACATGTAATCGAACTCTTTCACCTCCCAACCATTTCCATTCAAGAAACGGCTTATTACGTCTCCGAAGAAGCTTAACCTCGACATGAGTGTAGCCACTGTTGTATTCAAGCGACCCGTCAGCGAGTATGAGTTCCTCGCATCCAAGGTTATACCGCATTGCATTGTGTCCGTTGTCTCGCGCAATTTCAGAGCCAGTATCTACATGAACAACAATCGCGTTACTACTCCCAATGCATGAAACCCGATTCGCGGCTGTACGGACAGCAGAAATCCACAAAGAGCATTTTCAGTTGGCTGGAAGCTCGGGAAGCCGACTGGTGAACTTGGTGAGAGTCTCGTTTGCACTGAGAAAGGCCATGCCAATGGGATCTGGGATTTCGAGTGTCCTGAACACATTAAAGTGACAAATGAAAGCGCCTTCTACCTCCTGGCGTCCGGTATTTGCGAAACTCATCGTTACTGTGACTCATCTAACAGATTCTACCGCCTTCCCATTCGCCAACTAAAATTGTACTCTGGACTCTTGTTTATATTGACCTCAAATTCCTTCTTTTCTGCTAGATATACTAGTGATATGTGGTTTGCGTAGGTACCTGTGCTATATCCCGTCATTATTAGTTTAGTCCCTGCCTTGAGCTCGAAAGACATCGGTAACCCTTCCTACATTTATTTGCTCTTCACGGAGTGAGGGTCAGAAGGTCACCAGAATCTTCTGGCGTTATCGCTTGCGGGCAGCAAGAGCGATCCCGTCTTCGTCTCCTTGTTGTGGTGTTGTCTGGCCTTGCCTGCAAGATTACTCACCCTCTGAGGCTTTGTTGTGAGCGAATTGAAGCGACCGACTGCAGAGTTTGAGACGTGTCGTAATTTCTGGGTATCAGGTTGGTGGTGGTTTCCCTCAAGCGTTGAACGCAGTATAGCATTCGCTCCATTATAACCTTTCATATGGACAAATAACTAGTAAATCGAGAAGATCTGGGATTGTGTTGTCTAAGTTATGGCTCGCCCCTCCGTGCAGCCATGGATAGAAGCAGACAGGTTTATCTATCGGTTCCGACTGTGAGCTCTCTGATACTTCGTCCACGTCTCAGTCTATTAGTTCGTGGTAAGGCGACTGACGATGAGGCTCGCTCGCTCGTAATCGAGATCTGCTATGTTGTTAGGTATCCCCATGCAACACCAACCTCCCGATTTAGACTGCTACAAATCCGCCCAATCCTTCCGCGAAGCCTGCACGTGGTGGTAGGGGGAATATTCCATATACCTCTCCCAGCAGCTACCGAGAGCGAGCATCGTCGTCATTCATAGTCTCAACGGACATTGTGGCTTTCGATGGCAAGCAATGAAGTCAACCGGCTACACGCATCCTCCTTCAAGACGTTCCGAGCGCGCGAATAATCACCTGCTGTTGCGATGTGATTATCCACAGAGGCTCTCATATCAGCTGCTAGCACAACGACTTCATGCTAGATCTCTGGTGCCTAGCCCGCGTGTGGAAGGCAGGAAGTGGGGGTAACAAGTAGGGGAGATACTTGATGATGGTTAAAATATGGGAGAGGACCAGACGGTCAATTCTCTTCGTCGCGCACAGTTTGAGCAGGACGATATCATGGACATCAGATAGGTATTGAGCACTCCATCGCAAGACACCGCAATAAAGATGGCAGCGACGTAGCAGTTAGCAAGTTATTGCCAACTGCTCAAGCCTTATTCATAGTCACTAGTGAGACATGTTGTCGACAGGAACAGAAGAGTGAAGGATTATGAGAATTTCTTCATAGCCGAGCTCGTACAACAGTTCGAGCGCTCTCATCCCCGCGATCCCGCTGCATCTGATCTGCCATTGAGGACTAGGCTTGTCCTGTGAGCCTCGTGGTTGTTCTTGTATACCCTTTCCTCTGGATGTTGAGTCTGCCGTTCAACAAGATCAGTGTTTCACATTTGCGCGAAAGGTAACACTCCACCTTATCGATAAGATTCAGCGCTTGGACATCCCCATCTGTGAGAGGAACAAGCTGAGCGGCAATGGCAAGTCCCTGCAAGGTCTCGCTGGACGTTTCTGTCAACCCTCTGAACAATTGACAAGGCTGCTGCAAAGCCACCACGCACGGTCCCGTTAAGCCCAACGTGCGCTATCAGGGTTCGTGCAGTAAGATCTGCTTTTGTCTGGTCTAATCGAGCTCAGATATTATGAAGGTCCTTCTCATCTCTGTCTCCACTTATAGTTGCATGCATGCACTGTTTTACTTTGCCCTTTCCCAGTTGAGCAGCCAAGTCTACCTTGTCTGTCAGGTCTTCCCCCTATGTCTAGGACTGCCTGGATTTGCTCCTCAGTCGCGGGAGTTTGCAGCGTTCTCTCACCCTAGACAAGTTAAATTGTGCCCAGCAAGTTGTCAAGCTGGTCCTTATGCTGATCAACGTGGTCCGATGCGCCATGTACTTTCGCTCGTGCTTCCTGAATCTTTACATCAAGGTAATTGCCTGGCCAAGCCGCGGAGAGACTGCAGCAGTACCACCAGTTAGCTACCTCCTATTTCTCTCTGTGAGCATCGTTCTATACCTTGTGCCGTAGACATACCAATACTGTATGATTTAATGCGATACAGCGTCTATCACCCGTAAGTAGAAGACATAGAACTTCTGGCCGAAATTGTGAGGTCATAATGGGTGCTGAGGCTGAAGCTAGAGCAAGTGTCTTGCGCCAACATTCCGTTCAGCTGAGATCTTGGCAAACCACAGCCTCAAGGAACTGCAGCAGTTCTGACAACCACTCCCTGTCTCCGACCTCGATTACCCAGTTTTTCGTTATGCATTAGTATTTTATTGAATATTTATTTAGAAATATAATCCTGTGGTGCCGAAAGAGTCGTGGACCCCTTCAAACGCCCTAATCAACTGTGGGTCGGGGGGAGCTGGCCTCAGCCTTGCCCTGGACCAAATTTTCCGAGCGAAACTGAGTGAGTTCCATTCGCTGCACTTGTGCGCTAGAGTTACAGAAGCAATATAGAGCTCATTATTGTCCAAAGGTATTGTTAATTAGACTGCCGCCATAAGAAATGACACCAACTGTCCTGGATAGAACGGCTTACCAGCATAACAAGGCTGATGGAAACGCAATCGCCATATACGGGACCATCCATGGCGATGTCCACTTTCCTAGCCAGCCAAGTTCCAATCAACGCCTGCGCGATGTACAAGATGTTCCGCCCGATGACCCTGAAGACTTTAATCGCGCATTGAAGCTGCTCTTTCTTTCCGACCCCAAGGACGATGTTGCTGCAATATCTAGGGATAGGCATCCTGGGACGTGTGAATGGGTTCTTGAGCGCGACGAATATGAAGCATGGACCCAAAACACTAACCACAGTTTCTGGGCTATAACAGGCTCGCCCGGAATTGGAAAGACAACACTTGCTTGCTTCCTTCTTGAAAAGCTCGAAGAGAAGCTTCAAGAAATGCTCGAGAAAAAGCTCGAAGAAAAACTCAAAGAAAAGCGCAAAGAACAGTACAAAGAAAAGCACAAAGAAAAGCACAAAGAAGAACACAAAGAAGAGCTTAAAATGCTCGAAGGAGAGCTCGAAAAACTCGAAGAAAAGTCTGAAGCAGAGCTGGAAGAAAGGTCCGAAGAGAAACCCGTAGAAAGGCTTGAAGAAAAGTCAGAAGAAACGATCGAGGCTTCATCTGACTATCTTCTCATTCACTACTTCTTTGACAACAAGATCGGATACCGCAGGACCGGACTTGGATTTCTCAGGTCGCTTATTTGGCAGCTTCTAACCTTACGCACGTCAACTTGGGAGGTGGTAAAGCAAGACTTCAAAATGAAAGAAGAAAAAATCCTGAGTTTTGAGACCCTGTGGCGCCACCTCCAGAGCATATTCTCCGTCATCGACTGCCAAACTATATACCTTCTCGTTGATGCCCTCGACGAATGTGAAGAAGAGTCCCGACAAACCGTCCTTTCATCCTTGTCAAGGATGCCTAAAGTACTCTCTGGGCTCACAAAATGTCAAATCAAAGTTCTAGTGACCGCGAGACCAAAGACAGAAATAGGGGAGACATTAGGCCACGAGTGGATCCATCTCCGGGTTGACTCCGGGCTAGTGAATGTCGACCTGATGAATTTCATTAGAGCTAAGGTCAAGGAACTATCCGACACCAAAAAGAAGCTCCCCGGGACTATCGCTAATGAGATAGAGGAAAAATTGACGCAGCATGCTGGAGGTACCTTTCTCTGGGCTTCGCTTATGCTCCACGAACTTGCTCGAAGTCCGATACATAAAATGCGTCAGGTGCTTCAAAATCTCCCTTCAGACCTCTACGAAATTTACTGCGGAATCATCAAGCACATTGCCGAAGAAAATCGACAGGAAGCTATATTCGTGCTCACCTGGATATGCACATCAGCCCGACCGCTCAACATTAAAGAACTTGCACTAGCCTTTGGAACTGGCACAAACCGGTGGGCTAGGAATGCCCTGCCTTCCGATGCGGACGTTGAGGAGTGCTGCTCTGTTTACATGTGTTGCGAGACTCTTGTTTACACGGACAGCGAGACGGAGACTGTACACTTGGTCCATCAAACGGTAAAAGACTTCCTTCTCGAGCCACGTCTCCGGAATGAGCCCGGGATTTCAGATTTTTACGTTGTGCCGGAAGAGGCTAACTTTCTCCTATTCCGCACATGCTGGACTTACTTGAGCTTTCCCGAATTCCATGGCGGTGCTGATCTGGTCACTCGAACTGGCTCAAAGCTGATAAAACATGACACCAAGACCACAATCCAGAAGAGCCCGGCCTCACAGAGAGCTCTCGTGGGTTACGCTATATCGAACTGGCTTACCCACGCCACAGCATCAGCAAGTGTTATAATTAAATGGTTCGATTGGAGTAATAGTCTCAATCAACTCCCAACTTTGCGAGATTTGTGGTTGCTGGAAAGTGCCAAGGGTAACAATGAAGCACTGGTGCACCAACTCATTAAGAGTGGTGCACAAGTCGACGTTAATGATGGGGCCGGCAACAGTGCTCTTCATATCGCCGCTTCAAGAGCAAGCCTTGGAGTTACGAGAATTATTATCCAAGCGGGCGCAGACTTGAATGCCCTCAACCACAAAGGAAAACCGCCGCTGTCGTTAGCCGCAGAGAACGGGCAAGAGGCAGTAGTAAGTCTGCTGCTCACAAGGAACGGCGTCGATCGAGACTCTAAAGACAATGCCGGTCGGACGCCACTGTCGTTGGCCGCAGAGAATGGGCAGGAGGGAGTAGTAAAACTACTTCTAGTGAAGAACGGCATTGACCCCGACTCCAAGGATAATGCCGGTCGGACACCACTATCTTTAGCCGCAGAGAACGGGCACGAGGTAGTAGTAAAACTGCTGCTCACAAAGAACGATGTCGATCCAACCTCTAAGGACGATGCCGGTCGGACACCGCTGTCGTTGGCCGCAGAGAACGGGTGCGAGGCAGTGGTAGAGCTGCTGCTCACGAAGGACAGCGTCGGCCCAGGCTCTTATGATAACGACAGTTTGAACGCTAAAGATTCTTGTGGACGGACGCCGTTGTTGTGGGCAGCACTAAATGGGCACAAGGCGGTGGTTAGGCAACTGCTCGCGCGCGGAGCGGACGTGAACAGCAAAGATTCTAGATACGGACGGACGCCACTGTCGTGGGCGGCATGGTACGGGGACAAGTCAGTAGTCCAGGAGCTGCTCGCAAAGGACGGCATCGATCCAGACTCTAACGACAATGCCGGCCGGACGCCGCTATCGTTGGCCGCAGAGAATGGGTACGAAGCAGTGGTAAAGCTGCTGCTCGCGAAGGACTGCGTCGACCCAGACTCCAATGGCAACAATGGTTTGAACACTAAAGATTTTTATGGACGGACCCCGCTGTTGTGGGCAGCACTAAATGGGCATAAAGCAGTGGTTAAGGAACTGCTCGCGGAGGGTGCAGTGGACGTGAACAACAAATACTCCAGATACGAAAAGTATCCCGAGTCCGTAACGAACCAGGAGTATCGACAGCCCAGCTTAAGAAATATTGGGACTTGTACACGTCTGAGCATCCATTTCAATGGGATTGGTAGTCGGCATCTTCATAAAATAGGCCTACGTGAGCAAGGTGAACATAGGTGCGTTATTTATTCGCATTTACGAATTAAATTCAACTTGCTAATAGGAAACATAGGGTTATCGACCTGGTTTGGGGAACCCTTAGCCTGGAACGGTACCCAAAGCCGTTTCAGCTGAGAAAACAGGAACCAGTTCCCAATATCAACCCAGGTGTGTATATCCAGGATTCATGGGAGTCTGCCTTAAGTGTACCGACACCCGCAATACATAAAAGCAGGAGCACCGGAATCCACAAACTCAGTCTCAGTAAATGGCTGGATCGTGACTACAGACTATTGGAAATTTACTGTACCCAAGGAAAAGTTGCAGCTGTTCGAGCTTTGCTTGAAATTGGTTGCAATCCCGGAAAAGCCTTTCCACGCCACCAAGCTCGTCCTGGGCCTATAATTAAAGCCGTCCAAGGGGCCAGCAGCAAACATAATAAATGCGTGCAGGAGCTTATCAAGCATAATGTTGATGTGAACGTGGTGTCCAAGAGGAGCGGAAAGACGCCTCTGCATCTCGCTATTGAGAATGCTAACTTCAAGGGCTATCAAAATCTAATCCGCGATCTCATTGATGCAGGTGCGGACACAAATAAAGCAGACTTCGGAGGTCAGTATCCGCTCGTGAAGCTCTTTTACGGAAACGATTCAGGGCCGTTGGAAAAGCACCGTCTAGATGCCCTTGCATTCCTCCTGCACTCCTCTACCAAGGTCAATATCGTCCAGCCTAACACACTCAATACTCCGCTACACCTAGCGGTGCACCGCAAAGACGTTTGGGCTGTTGGGATGCTGCTTCACGAAGGTGCGAACGTTAATGCTAAAAATTCGTCCGGTATAAGCCCGCTGCTGCTGACCGCCAACCAATTCCAGCGCCCGATGGCGCATGATCATATCTGCGTTCTCAAGCTACTGCTTGCAAACCCTGGGATTGCTGTGGATAGTAAGGCCGACCCCGACGAACAGACGCCCTTGCACCACGCCGTTAAGGCCGGTACTCTGGAAGCTATCGAGATTCTCCTCGCGCACGGAGCCGATCCACTCTGCAAGGACAAGAATAGGCGCGACGCACTCGCTCTCGCCAACCAGAATACCGCTAATCTGCCGCTTGTGGACCAGGCCGACATCATGGCTCGGCTGCGGGACGCTATGACGACGATGTGGCCCATTGGGGAAGACAAGCGCGGTATTGAAGTAGCGTGTGAGGCCTCAAACACTGCATTCATGCCGATCGTAACCCATGGTGGTAAACCCAGCGTGTGTGCACCGGGTTGAGATATTAGTAATCCGATAGATCAGTTCACTCGTATTTGTGAGCATGTAGTAACGATAGAGTGAGATATAGGGAGCATGTTTATTTTAGAATCATAAGAATTGAACTGACTCGTGCGTGTTATATACGCGTCAACAAAATCTTGTTGGGCAATGCCAGCTCAATAATCTCTCAAAAATTATCCTAAATGGTCCTATTTACGGTTTGCCCCCACTAGGGCGTGTTGATATGTAAGCCTTGCCCTATGCTATCCTACCCTCTCACCTCTACGATGCCGGCCAAGATCCCACCCGAGTTAACCCTAAAATCCTATTGCTACGCTTGCAACCCGTCTTTCAGAACGGTATGACCTCTTTGACCCACGCCATGCACTGTTCACACTGTGAAGCCCTAAATTAGAAGGAGGCAGCGCTATACATGACTCTGTTGCAAATGGAGAGGTGGTGTAAGCATGCAGCTATGTAGAAATCTGATGAAGTGAAGTGTATTGGTCTAAGTCTAAGTGCTCTGTTGCAGAGTATTTATTTACATCTATGATGGCGGGGCAGTGAGGGCCATGGCAATGGCTAAGGGGATATAGTGAAGGTAGTAGGAGCTATAGTGAAGGAAGTAGGAGCTATAGTAACCGCAGTAGGGGCTGTTGAGGCACAGGGAAGGAAGGTTTCTGTACCAAGTCCATTTCGGCTTTTGAACCTGAGCATACAAGGGTGTGAAACTGAGCAGTGACTAAGTAACATGAGATTGTGGCTGTGCAATCCTGAGCAGGTCTTAGTAGCCTGAGCAAACCTGAGCAAGCTAAGTATTAGCCCGAATCTTGGACACCAACAGTTATATGAGTTACCAGCCTCGCTTGGCGCAGAAGTAAATATATGGAAAGCTCGTTCAAAAAAGAACTAAAGTGTCAATTTACAAGAGCTGGAGGCAATGATCAAACCGAACACGAAATTGAAAGTCATCAAGTTTGTTGAATGGCCAGCTTTTCGTACCCTGCTAATGCTCTCTAGCGACCCATAGAAGCCAACAGGTGCCATTATACCGAAGGGCCAACTCGACAAAATCATTGAGTTGGTCAATTCAAAGGCATTCAGATCCTCTCGGACGAGGTATACCGTCCAGTGTTGCATTCCATCACGCCTGCCTCCTACGACTTTCCACCATCCACCGTGTCACCAGGTTACAAGAACTCGATATCCACAAGTTCTCTCCACAAAGCATACTCACTAGCCAGTACCCGCGTCGAGTGGATAGCATCGCGCAGTCAAGCCATCATCAAAACGATACCTAATGTTCGCGACTACACCACCATCTCAGTCAGCCCAGCTCGACTCTGCCGTAGCTGCATTCGCACTCAACACCAATACGGTGCATGCTCTCCTGGTGCGGAATATACAGTTCGCAACGGCTAGCCTTGAGATCCTCGACAAGTTCGTAGGGCCTCCCACGCTCCCAGAGCATATCTATTGAAGTATGGGGTTTAGAGTCACGGCAGTGGTTGATCGTATATATTAATGGAGAGAAGAGACTAAGGAGCAGACTATATACTAAGGGTGCTAGTAGCGCCCTAGCGGCACTTGCTGTCTACTAATAGTAGACAAAAAACAATAGGGATTGCACCCAGCGCTTCCAACGAGGCGTAGTACGTTGTACTCTAGTTAAAACAGCTAATATTATAGGTTTCTAGAGACGCAGGACTAAAGTCTAAATAGCTATTAAATAACTAATTCTCCCTATTAACATAAGCAAAGAGGTCTAAAAGCTTGCTGCTTACTACCTTATTCTGTAGCTAGCAGCAGATTACCTTGCCCTGCTCCTCTAAAAGCGTTAAATCTGCGCTATAAGCCTATACTTTTAACAGTGTATAATTGCCTTACAACATAGTCTTGTTCTTTATGCGTAACTTAATTGCGCTAAGGGCAACACTTATGTTAAGTCTAACAGCTATATATTATTCTAGTTAATTATAAACTTAACCCTAGTGTTATAATTACAGTCCTCTAGGAACTGCTGCGACTAATCTTTAGCTATAGATAGTATACTATTACAGGATAAGGCAAGAGATGCGGTGTAGAGGGTTATTAACTTCTGCAGCCTACAAGACTGCGCAAAATAGGCAATAGAGGTATCTAATTAACTAAATAAAGCCTGTAAAGCAGTAAAGCGCATAGATAGTAATAAGCATTTTTAAGACAACAGACTGCAGATAGATAGATTAAAAGACTTAGAAACCCTTCTAAACGCTCCCACAGGCCTACTGTTTGCTAGAGCCCTTCTACTCCTCTAAAATCACTATACAAACTTCCTAAAAGGGTAATACAGTCTGTACTACGTACTGTACCTAGGGCATTATTAAAAGTACGGTACAGCTCACAAACTTAGTACGTTGGTACCGCTCACGTGACCGTTACAGTTCACTTTACACGGACCGTAGTACGGCCTGTTAGAAGCCCTGATTGCACCTTCCAAAAGCATCGACCACAACTCTCTTCAGCACATCTAATCCAAGATCCAGCAGCTCCAGTCAGCCTAGCAAGCGCACCTTCGACGACAAACAAGCTTCACATCGTCTCTGCTCAGCATGTCCAACCTAGTCACGGAGTGCGAACAACTCGTTAATAAGGGCATTCCGAACGAGTTTAACGAGGCCGACGCGACAATCATCGGTGAAGCACCAGCTAAATTTGTCGAATGGGGCTCCGTGTCGCTCTGGGGCCAACACACAGGCACGGGCGGTAAGAGCATCAACCTTAGGGTGCCGGGCATTATGGCGTGGCTCAAGACTCTAGCCGCAAGTGGTACGGGACCTGCTGGCGAGTATAATGGTATTACGTACAAGTTTATTAGCAGTACGTTGTTACTCGCGGCCCTTGACTACAGGAGAAGAATGCTAACAGATGAACCTTACCTAGACAAAGACTCCGGCGCGACTAGCCCAGTCTCAATCCTCTAAGGTCTATAACCAGCACATATAGAAAGAGGTGGGCTCAGCATGTTCGTACTGGAACGTTTCCTTTGCCGACGTCCCGTCGCCGCTGAGTGCTTTTTCTCGCCCCGCTGCTTCCAACTGTTCTGTTCTTTCCAACTATCACCCACTCCCAACTATGCTTCTTATTTGGCGGCATACTTTGTCACTCCAGAGAAGCCATTCTCCAGCTACATACTCCTTTTCCCTAAATTATATCGTCTATAATTAAACAATAGCACAGCCACTTCTAGGCATACAAACTCCCAATGTAATCCTAATCCTCGCGTGATATAGTGACTGTTTAAAACTAGTTTTCAAGTTGTTGTATCTCTCCTGGTATTCTTAAGGCGATGGAATCTCCACCTTTGTTAGCACTAGCTCTACCACATTGTTAGACAAGTCCTCGTTGCTAGGCTTGTACAATTAATATTTTTCTAAGTGTCTATAAAAGCCTTAAAGCAGCTAACAGAGTCCTGGTAATGCTTTACGCATCCTTGCTCAGTGCATTCCTCTAGAAGCCTATGCAAGGCCATCTACAGGCTTCTGCTCCTTAGTGGGAAGAAGGTAGCTGTTGTATGTACAGGAAACTTTAGTGGGGCGTTACGTTTACAAAGTTAAAAAAGATTAGAGCGAAAACGCATCTACTATTATTGTAGATTCCTGACAATATTAGGGAAATAGGTAACTATCTAGAGAGGACAGAGGAGAGCCTCTTACAAGGGGTTGGAAGTCTAGGGCTCTGCAATCTAAAGGATTAAAACAGGCGTTAACTATGCGCGTGAGGCGTGGCGCAATCTACTAGGATTTAGTACAGTTAAGGTAGGTCGTTAGTTACAAGGACGTTACGCCGATTGGTTCGTTTCCAGTCATCCCAGCCTCCTGCAATCTCTTTGTCCTCTTCGCCAGGTAAACCGCATATTCTGCCTTGGGAACTCCCGGTGCCACCCAGACGTTGCCCCCGACCGCTCCCCATACCTCTAACTGCTCCTTAAAGTTATCGTTCGGCTTGATCTTCCTCTTTTCTCCTACAAAGGCCAAGGCGGCGGCAAGGTCGTACTGATAAGTTTGCATTATATAGGCGATCACAGCCGTAGCAGACCGCGACACGCCTCGGTCGCAATGGACGAGGACGGAACCGGAATCCAGACGCTGGTTGATGAAGTCGCAAATGTCGGCAAGTTCGGGCAGCAGATCCTGCGTCATGCTGTCTTCGCACTTTATGAAGAGGTGGTTTCCTTTAGGGATGATCTTCTTATACCAGGGCTGGCTCCAATGGACCCATTGCCCCCCACTGAGAGAGACCACGGCGGTGATGTTGTACTCGCCGAGGATTTTCTGATCACGAGAACTCGTGCTATCGCCAAGGTAAAGTTGACCGGCGATCTTGGTGATTGACGGGTTCGGCATGGTTATCGTGCGGTGGATTGTGGGGACGGGGCCAGCGGCTGCATTAGACTGGGAGCGGCGCACCGAGGATTGTAGCCTTTACTCGGTCACGTTTTTCGCCACATCCTCGGGAATAGCCGATAAGTGGTAAAAGGTTAACACCATGAGCTAGAAATGTCACAATATAATAGAATTTAAGGGTTTTATAGCATTTAACTAAAGAAATTATTATTGCCTTAGATCTTAATACGTTAACAAAACTTTGCCTTAAACCTCTAGCACTTAGAGTTAATAGTACGTTGTAGGAGGTCATGCTATGCCTGTGTTATCTCCACCTTAATTGTCTCTCTTGCCAGCGTCCTATAATAACACTGTGACCTAAGGATCCTAAATCTATCTTTAGAGGATTCTAAAATAGCGCCTGTTACATCCTATTTGTCTAGCTTCTATTAACAGAGCTTAAGTGTCTAATCTTCTAGGGTTTTAATAATCTGCTCCCTATTAGCAGAGGGAGGTAGTTTAGTTCCTTGTTTCGTCTTTACTTGCTAAATAAAATCTTTTCTTAAGATTTCCCCTTATAAGTAAATAGAGGTAGAGAAGGAATAGACATAGACAGAAAAACAGTAAGGAGATAGAAGCTAGGGAGAATGGATAAGATAGTAGGGGGCCGTTTGCCTTATAGCGTTCGACATTCGGCCGACACTAGAGCTAACTTCCGGGGTATTTTGCATGACTGGCCTATTCCTAGGACATCAGATGGCCTATTTCAAGACTTCATTACCAGCTTACCCTTGCAGTTGTCTTTCGCGTAGAGCTAACGGAAACTACGCTAGTATTTTCTACAATTAGAACTAGCTAACGAAGTTAGGATGGAATGGTGAGTTGGAAAGCGAGCACCTGAGCCGTAGCGGTGCAAACTGAGCAGCGGGTGAGCTGAAGTTGAGCCGAGTGTTATTATGCTTTTAAATCTAGGATACGGTGCTAATCAAAAGGGGAGGTGGGAAGAGGTCAGTTAGTGTCTGAGATACGCGTACATATATAGTCAGCTCAGAACTCTCTCACGTTCCTCAGACTAGGCTGGACTAGGTCAAGGCCTTACAATATACTCGCCCAAATCCCCCAGCTTGGCTCTCACCAAGTTGGTGAACTCGCCTGTCCTCAATCCCCTGCTTGTACCTCCAATACGCCGAAGGCGGGTGAGTGGGAAGTATTTGGGTGATTAACAGTCATGAAACTTGGCGCGCTAACGGCAGATTATTTATGGCCCCATTCAAAGGAATGAACCTTTCTTCCCTTAGTTTAAGGGTATTAGAAAGAGGCTAAATAACCTAGTTATTGCCTACAGAAGACCTATAATGTAGATAAAACAAGACTTGTGTTAAGAATTCTTAGCTTTGTTAAAGTCCTTGTAGGCAAGAACAACCTGAAAGATTATAGAGGCGCAGGTGTTGAGCAAACAATACTAACTACAATCAAGTGCATATATATAGACAGTGAGTCTCTTCTCTTACTAATTTTCTAGCTATCCCTAACCTAATAAAGTTATTGGACTACATAATCTACTTCGAAATATTGTTACGCGTGTTCTAAATCTAGATATACTCACTCTAAGGTTAGATACAATCCTATATGTGTGTTTAATCCCTCAACTAAAGCATAGGCACATTAGAAACTATGTATTCTAATTCCCAACAACTTTAGGACGCACAGGTTGCTCAAAATATTAGCCAGTGCCGTGGTGTTTTGCTTCGCTAGAACAACGCAAAAGAAGATGCAATATAGCCCTCAGTACAGCTGTACATGCAGTAGGACGCAATTAGTCAGGGCCTACCTTCCGGTGTTGCCCGGGATTCTCTCTAGGGTTGAACCGTAGCCGAATGCAAGGCCAAGAGGGGATTTCAAGCCGGTAATGGCCATCTATTAAGGGCTCGTAGGCTATCTTGTAACGGCCTGTAAGCCTCATGCTACTGGTGCGACAAAGTCGACTTTAATAGAGCGGAACAAAGTTGATATACTTCTTGGCGCAGAGTCATGTTTGCTGGGAGAGAATGTTGGTTCCGGATATATTCGCTGCTTTATAAGATCAGACTTTGGGTTCTTCGAAGCGGACTCTGCGCTTTTTATTTGTTGACTCTTCGAGTGTGTTCCCCCTATCAACAAAGTCAGTAGCGGGCCTTGTTCTGTTGTGCAGGCCGATGCCGCCCATCCTTCTGGGCGACTAGCTGTTTGCGATAACGAGCTATATCAGCACGATTTTATTTGCACCCTAGCTTCTAGCAACTTCCCTTCTTCTCTCAGTCCGACGGTCGCTTCAAATTCTGCCCAGAGTCCCATAGAATTACTGAACATATCCGGCTTCAATCTTTGATGGGCAAAGCTGGCTGAGCATTTAGCGAGTTTACCCTCCAAATCTAACATCAGAGTGAAGCCTGTCACTCCTATAACTCCAACCGTAGATCACTCTTCACATCTCGTTCAAGATCTAGTTTAGTAACGTAAGCTCACTACAAGGCATGCCTGAAGAATGCCAGCCAACACCGAATTGATGAACAGCCTAACGTGTTTACCCGCCGGGACAATTGCAAACCCGTTGGACCATCGTTCATCCACAACCCCGACATCCAATCCTCCATCTCGCATTCCCTTCCATATAATCTCATACTATCCCCATCCGCCTTTACTTTCCCGAAACCTGTTGTCTGACATTGCATGGCTTTTGCGGACTTTATCGTGCAAGGCGGAGATAAGCGGAAAGTCCGAAATGGGGGAACAACATCGTGAGGAGACTCATGCCGAAAGGAGGGTATAAAGAGGGGGGATAGAGAGGGGATCGAGGGCATATTCATGCTAGATACGTCGGTTTCTAGATACCTTTCATCAGTCTACTTGTAAAAATTGCATCGCAATCTCTTCCTGCAACTCACTACGCTCTTGTTCAACGCGCGCACAACGAGCCCCTGGAGCTTAAGAGTGTTCCTGTTCAGGAAGTTCTACCTGGGTCAGCCGTTGTAAAGATTGTCTCAACACCGGTCGTGTCGTACGCGAAAGAAGTATACAATGGAACGCGCAATTACCTTTATCCTTCGCCCTTTACCCCAGGGACTATGGCTATAGGCAGGGTTGTTGCTTTTGGTCACGATTCAACCAACCTACAGGAGGGGCAGCTGGTCTACGTCGATTGCATGATACGCAGTCGAGACAACCCCAGCGATGTGTTCTTGCACGGCTTACACGAGGGATTTACCCCCGGGACGAGGAAGTTAATGAGTGAAGTCTGGAGGGATGGTTGTTGGGCGGGCTATTGTCGGATTCCGCTAGAAAATGTATATCCATTGAAAGAAGGGCTTTTAATGAAAGAGTTGGGATATCGGGAGACAGACTTGGCGACCATTGGACGATATATGGTTGTGTACGGAGGATTGAAAGATATTAATCTTCAAGCTGGTGAGACGATTGCTGTGGCTCCAGCGACTGGGGGATTTGGGGGTGCAGCGGTCATGGTAGCTATTGCGATGGGTGCGACGGTTATTGCGATGGGTCGGAATGAATCTGTTTTGGCAAATATTTCGAGCAAGTTCGAGGACGGGAGAGTCAAAGTTGTGAAGATGACCGGAGATGTGGAGCAGGATACTAGAGAGCTGAGGAAAGCGGCGAGAGGACCTATCGATGCTGCTTTCGACATTGCACCACCTATGGCCGCGAAGTCTACTCACCTCAAGGCCTGCATTTCGGCAATGAGACATGGTGGAAGGATCAGCTTGATGGCAGGGCTGCAGGGGGACTCCTCAATTCCATATCATGCTGTCATGCATAAGGATTTGACGCTGAAGGGAAAGTGGATGTATGGGAGGGATGAAGTCTTGGGGGTCATTAGATTAGTTGAGACAGGGGTACTGAAGATTGGAGAGCCAGGAGGGTTGAAGATTGCTGGGAATTACCCATACAAGGATTGGGAGAAGGCGCTTGATGCAGCGAATACGAATTCGGGGTGGGAGGCGTTTGTGGTGATGAGACCATGAAAGGTTCACCTTCTACATGATGGATGGCTTCAAGACATACGATGTACGCAGATACAGGTATACCTTGTAAAGTACTAAATTGTATGGTTCTCATTGCAATGTATTTTGTAGCTGCAATTTGGGGAAATCCGACCGCGATAAGATTGGATAGACTCCCTACAGCCATATTCAGGTCGATATATCTCGAGGAAAGCTTGGATCTTGTACCCACTGTGCAGAGAAACCATTGGGAGGATTGAGGTGACTACCTCCCCTACACACGCGCCATAGTTACTCTCGCAGTCTATGTGTTACCCCTGGTCTATCGTGCGTTGCCCTGCCTGGTATCGCGGGTTTCAACTCAATCTATTTCTTCTCTATTAGAGAGAAAATGAACCAAAGACCACATCAGGGTCTCTGGACATGCTGGACTCGAGAGGTCCAGATGGTATTGAAGCGTAACGCAAAAGCTTAGGGAAGAAGAGCCGAGCACTAAGACCTTGTTAAGACAAACCGCGCGTAGAACATAGTCACTCTATGATGGTATTTCGAGAAGAAGGAAACGTATGTTGCACTATATTTCTCCGCCATGTCGAGCTTGTTTGTAGTAGTCACACATGGCTCACATGATAGTCACATGTTGCTAAGACTTACCCCCTTTTTTGCATATATATATTTATACCCGTAGGTATACTCCTTTAGCAATTAATACAGTTCTTCATGCCCCTGGTACTCCCAATAGCTCCGAGGATATCCCCCTTCACAGCCGGGAGGAGAGACTGGGGAGTTTCCCCAATGAGGCTGGTCCCAACACTTCGCAAAATCATGACAACTAGAGCCCCAATCCCACACTATCAACTTAAGGCAGTGTCTCAGACGAACTCCCAGATGGTCTTGCAATAATGTACAAGCAATAGTGATTAGAAGCATTAGCGATAAGGAAAATGGAAAAACACAACACAGCCGGCAAAATGGTGAGCACGGCTTTCATTCCATCCGGACTTGAGAATAGAATCATAAGGGACTCCGCGGCTGAGAGCAGAACAGTTGAAAGCTCTAGGATCTCTCGTTTGCTCTCCTTCAATGCGACATAGCCGCATGCAGTGGTAACTACCAGGCTTCCCATATACACGGGATACAGAAGCGGGGATGACGATTGTGGATCTGTTCGGATAATTGGGAATGAGAGTGAAAGGGCACCCATGCTCAACGGTAGGTATTTCGTCCCAGATACGTCAAATATCAATGTTAATATGAGCGATGCTAGCAATTGGACCAGTTGTCTTGGCCTTGCGTCAGCGCAGTGGGTGTGTTTGCAGTAGTCACGCATGACTCACATGATGGTCACATGTTGCCAGGGCCTACTCCTTTTCTTGCATATATAGAAACCCCTAGGTACACTCCTTTAGCAATCAACTCAGTTCTTCATCTCTGCGCCTACCAAAAGCTTCACAGGATGACTGGGTCTATCTAGAGCGTTTGCTCTAACTGAAAGGGAGATGACTACAGTTTCCTGCAGCAAAACTAGATGTGTGCCAAGGTATGCTCTGCAGAGGTTAAGGGCGAGACGGCATGACATGATTGTACAAAAACAACCTCGTCTTTTCCATCCTCTTGGTCTCTCAATCCTTGCTCCTTGTCAAATAAATCGGAGGCTGGCCGTATGCCTGATCTCTTGTATCTTGTGATTTTGTGGAGTCTGAGATATGAATGTGTCGACTTGACTTGGGGAGAAGGTTGCCTTTGAAGTAACTTTGAACTCCTCGTCCCGTGTAGATATTTTCGCCCCGCCCAAAGTCCCCCCCTTTAGTCACTTGTTCTATGCTTCCGTCCAACCCTGCTAATCACTTATAAGACGCTGATGGAAGTAATAGGATCTCATATCATTTGGGCTGCAACTCCCGCAAGACCGGTCATCCAGCTCCTAGATACGTTTCATAGGCTGATCTGTTTGCAGTAGTGTACTCCGGGTAGCACCAAGTGGCTGCATAGACATTTGTTTCCTCTTTTCTGTATTGGGGGCAGATCGGCCACCGAGTGGGTCAGGCGTCGAAGGACGGAACCATTCCCTCAGTCGAGGTAGGCGGCTAAGGTCATGCTTTCCTATGTTTCCGTTTCATTTAGTAGATGTTTCTTTTTCCGATTCCAAGTCATCTAAGGACGCGCGACATTCGAGCTTCTGGAATCGACGCTTGAGCGTACTTACCCTCTCTTTGCTCTGGCACATGTCCATCCGCCAGTCTGTCATAACCACCGACTCTTATATTAGGAACATCAGACTCCAGGAACTCCCTTCCTCTATCTGGTACTGCTGATCTAAAACATTATTTATCAAGACTCTTAGTTTAGGTAGAGCTTTTCCTATCTTCACATCGTGCGAATTACACAGTTGCCCTGGCTGCTGTGTGGGTGCTTGTCTAGAAAGCATAATGAGATACGGCTGGAGTCGCATGACATCTCGGGTTACGTCAAAACGTTGGGGTAGTACCTTTTCTGTCAGGTCCAGGACTTTTTGTCTACTTATTATCTGTTCCATTAATGGGTTTTTACGGACTCCCCGGCCAATTAACCGCTTTCTCGGTGTACACCGTACGCTCACGTGACAGAGTAAGAATTCCAGAAGGTTGAATGATGATCAGGGTTGACAGATCGAGAATCCATCCCCGGCCGCCCTTATAATGGCAGTCTTGACACATATCCTCACAATGCGAGCGTTCCACGAAAACCAACAACTTAGATTCAGGCAGCATTCCTGTATGATAGGAGTCGGAGTAACAACTAGACCTCTCACTGCCGTAGTAAGCCGTTCTGATGTTCAGAGTCAGATCCTAGTGTTTCTACCCTGGAGCATGAATTGTACCTCAGCCCTCAGTATAGATTGTGGGGACATACGGCAATACTATGAGAGCAGGCCAAAATATATTCTCCCGAGAGTCTCCCGATGGATGAGAAAGTTAGGGGGGTGTGGACCCGGTCAACTATCGGCCACGGCTCATGTTCAAGATATGACAAGTGTTTGAATATAAGACGAGAGAGGTTTGTTATGGGGAGATTGATAGAAGAACTACGATGGGGGAACATAGACAAGCAAGACAGTTTCGATTCTGGACGGTGCTGACTCAGCAACGCTGGCTGCTTCACATCATGACTAATTCCTAAAGGAATTGTCTGGGTATCCCCAAAGCCTAGGATAATATCATAATAAGTTTTCCTTCCCTCAATTTCTTATCCATGCCATTAGAATATAACACGGGGGTAGCAGGATCACGCACCCCTGAATGTAATCCAAAAAAAAAAAAAAGCCAGATTTCATCTCGACACCCTACATTACCAAGGTAACCTAAAAAAGAACATATGTACCAGGTTTACAGCAAATAAAGTCTTCCTTTCCAGTCGCCGTTTCTTTTTTTATCACTCATCTTCTAAATACCTTTCCATCTGCAAACAAAAGAAATAGTAAAAAAGTAAGCTGTCCGAGGTGCGGATCGAACGCACTACCTCCAGATTTAATGACCAAAGTACACTTCAGTCTATTTCCTTGTTAGTGGTTGTTCTACTGTGGTAAAATGTGCCTTTGATGGAACTTGCCTGGCGCTCTCCCAAGTGAGCTACTCGGACCATTTTTTGCCATCTAAAAAAATTTATTTGATATATATAGGATTTCTCAATATAAAATAACGAGGGCATGAAGGCTGTAGGAGCCAGGGGTTATGGAGAAAAGAGGGGCGAATATGGGAAGGGCGAAGGGAGGAACATTTCAATCTTAAGAATCATCCCCTACGCTAGCTTTTCAATCTTGAGCATAGGCAGCTTCAGATCCTGTAACAGCGCAGCAGCACGCGCAAGCAGACTCATGACCTGATTGAGCTCGAAAATCGCGTATGAATGTATGCAGGAGCACTTGTTCTTTCAGTACTGTCGCTCAATGGGCCTCAACTTAGGTGCCCGAGGCTGGGTGTGGCGTTGTGACGGTACTGATGCCGTGTTTGGCTTAGCGCGTTTGCGGAGATAACTGAACCTCCTGCGACTACTACTACTCCAGTCTACGATGCCCAAGCATTTAATTGCTCTTAGTATGAAGAGAGGACAAAGGCCTAAAACATTCCCCAAGAAAGATTCCTTTGAGGGATAAAGGGAGGTATGGTGAGCAAGAATTAAATGGACAAGACTTTGGCAGCAATGACAACTACGGAGTCTATCACCACTCCTCCTCGTCCAGCGAGTCACCATACAACGTATCCAGTGAAATCACCGACCCAATTCCCATACAGCCCCGCCTCAGACTTAATCCTTGCATTCTGCGCCACGACTCTCAAGCTCTCCTGGAACTTCACCGTAATCTTCGCCATAGTCTTAATATGATCCAACCTCAAATCCTCACCATCCTTAAGTGCCAAACTCGCAGCAGAAGACAGCACATTTCTCAACTGCCTCCCATTCAAGCTTTCAAACCACTCTGGTGCATACGGGTCGTCTCGGAACCAATTCAAGATTACTTGACGGTCGTCAATTTAGTCTTCCTTAACTTCGTCTGTGAACTTCTGGAAGATTTTCTTCTTCTGATTAATGGTGAGGTCGGTGTATTTGATGCCAAGTTTGACGCGATATTAGACGGCGATGTCGAATTGGTTGATGCGGTTCGTGGTTAGGATCAAGATACCGCTGTAGTATTCAAGGACGCGGAGGAGGACAGAGACGAGCGCGTTGTGGGTCAGGTCGGATGTGTGCGAGCTGCGTGACTCGCGGAAGCAGATGTCTTCCTCGAGTAAGAGAACAGCACGCCACCGTGCAGCAAGCTTGAAGAGGGACTCAAGGTTGTTCGACGTTGGCTGGATCGAGTCCAATGTCCGAGGGGCTAACAGCAAAGAGAGGATTCCCTGCCATCACAGCAACGCTTTCAGCGGTCGATGTCTTGCCCACTCTGGGAGGACCATGGAGGAGAATGACCAGGCCTTTCCCTTTTCCCGAGACGATGTCTTCCATCATCGGTTGCTTCCCCGTCCCGCTTGTGTGACTCTGAACAAGGCCCTGGATAAGATCTTTGTAGGCTTTTTAGAGCTAGAGTTTCTTAGACGCTCCATTGCTGACGGGCTGGGAAATATTAACAACCTGATCCACTTCTAGCTCAATCCAAGTTTGGGTATCAATGTGATATCCTAAGACACATAGAGGACAAAAGAGGTATTGCTCGTCGGTGAAAGATTTGCTACGGGAATAGTCATCGAAATCTCGTCGTTGATTACGATTTAGCGCTGTATTGTGTGTGCAGGTTCCACAGCGACACTCGTCATAACGTGCTGAGAACAGAGCATCGCCCATTGGAGCACGTATTCCCGTATTTGGTGCGTGTTGAATATACGAGTCAAAATCGACTACACGGCCGGTAATCTGAAGCAAATTAAGGTCAGCAAGGCCAAAACTACATTGATATAGATTAATGTGAGGCTCCACCAACCTGTCTACGCTCTCCTTGTTTGGATGGAACATTCCGCCCTCGGCGACGACCAAAAGTGTACTCTATGCAAACTTCTTGCCTGTTCTGTTGTGGAATGATTCGTTAGCATGTCTCTACAATTTCCGAAACGAGCGGCGGAAGGTATGGAACACTTGCTTGGTTATGGCTATTTTTAAGTCTCTAGAAGCCACTGCCATGAGATATTGAGGTACCTTCATAGCTAGATATTTGCGCACCAACATCTCGAATACAAAAATCAAAGTTTCCCTCTTTCAATCAACGTTTACTTCAATTTCGTTACCTTCGACTCTGTGTCTTCATCCATGAAATGATAGCGAAGCGGATGAATTGTAGAGCATTGGTCATCCGCGAACCCTGAAAATCTTCAAACTTGAAGTAAACAGGTATTCGATTGAAACACAGCTTTCACTTTGAGATTCAAAGCTTTGTACCTTTTCTACCCTTTCGTTCGACGTCAAGCCCTGATTTGAGAGCTTAGATTCCTGGGAATATGAGCGGACATGTTTAGTGCAAGTATCACAGTAATACCGTACGGCCTTGTCCGATTTCGTCACAATTGCTTCCAGATCAGCGATTCTTTTCTCAAGGAGCTCGATGCACCTTGCCTCAAGTAGCCGAAGGTGGGGCGAGTCCTCCTCTTTCAGGGGATTTGGAAGGTTCCCAGATCCATCCTCCATCTCGGCAATCGCAATAGGATGGCTCGCCGTTGGTGATCAAAGAGGACGTAGCCAAAGGGAAGCAGATTCGCCTACTATGCACGAACTCGTTGCACATGACGCCAACATAGACAGTGATGTTCGAGTCAGAAAGGCTCTCCATGCAAATTCGAGACGTTTCAAGAGACTCTTAAACTATCTCCACCAGCAACCACTGCTGAGGATTGAGAGCCTCCGCATCGCTTAACGGGATAGGGCTAAGTTTCGAACAGCTTCGGGTCCTAGTTTAGAAAATACTCTACTAGGGACATAGTAGGGACCGTCCTTATGGTACAAGTTATCAGCGCCGAACCGCTCGATCTTCCTCTGACCATCCTGCTGTTGGTGAAGCAGGGTCTATAGTTTGGGAAGCAGCAACCGCTTCTGGCGACAGCAATAAGTTCGCTGACTTAGGGAATTTTGGGGTGTGTGGTTTTCAGTTCTTGACTTGATGTAGGCAAAATCGCTGTCTTGAATATATTGATGAGCGATTTTGATGGTTGAGTTTTGGCCGTACAATGGAAAAATCTGCAAGATCCCTAAAAAGAGATCTCCTGTCAACATTACCATAAAGTTGCTATAGAGTATGAAGACTCAGGGAAGTGCATAAGAACTTTAATAATATGCATCCATTATCCACGTCTCGTTGCATAAATCAAAGCAAAGTGGGAAGGCTGCACCATCCCGTGAAGATAGAGAAACGTGAAAAATGGCTCAATTGACGGTTGGCAGCAATAGCTATATCTGCTGTAAATTGCCACTGTCATATTCCACATTATAAGTGACAAGATGGCGTAGATAGAGGGCGTCGTTGAGGCTGCGCTTTTCACGTGACCCGTCTAAGCTGAATTGGGCTAGCGTCGTGACGTCGTCTGCCATCCCGTCTAATAAACCCCACTGTGCTGCTCTATCTTTCTTTCAAGTTTGCATTACACGCATGAATTAATGCGTTACCACCCCGTGGTCAAGAGGAATCGTTTACTGTGCGCAGAGTTACTCGGCCGAGTAAAAAGCGGCCGAGAAGCGTTCACCGGAAGTTATCCTAGATGATGCCGAGTCGATAACATATCGACAGCAGCGACCTAAAACCTTGACCTCTGCGCGGGACGTCCAAGCATCCACTCTACTGGTCTCCGACATTCTCTAATTCGTCGAAAAAGCAAACATTGTTTCTTCCAGCGCCTGACTGGACTCGCCTGAGGTTTTGGCTTTTTCCCCTCACGTCACAGATTCGTCGCAAATCTTGTTTACGCCTGTGACACCACTACGTGTGCTCTTTTTATTATTTTCCATAAAATTCCTAAGCCTCCTGGTCCTTGCTCGATTTCACAAAATATTTTCAATTAGAAACGATTGTTGAAGTCATTTGCCAACATGGGACACAAAAATTTCCAATTGTCACGAAAAACAAGGCTTAGAGCTGTTATCGCGATTTCTTTTCTTTTCTTCGTTGCTGAGATATCTAGTACGTTTCTTGGTGCGGTTTTTTGAAGGCAAAAATTCTGATGGAATCTAGCTGGCTTTTATACGAGGTCTTTGGCGCTGATTGCAGATGCTTTCCACTACGTATTTACCGCCCACCCACAAGCCATCACATCACTGACCCCCATAGCTTAATGACCTGATTGGCTTTATTGTCGCCCTGGTAGCTGTGCAGGTAAGCCTCAATTCCTCATAAGCTAAGGGTTGGTAAGCTTATGCCGACATAGGTCACAGAGCGCAAGACATCTCCCCAAGATCTATCTTTCGGGTGGGCTCGAGCACAACTTCTAGGTGCTTTCTTCAATGGGGCGTTTTTGTTAGCCCTCGGGCTGAGCATTGCGCTACAGTCTATCGAACGATTTATATCAATTCAGAGTAAGCCGAGAGAAATGGAGCACATTCCACAGCACATGATGCTGATGACAACCAGGAGTAGAGAATCCGAAGATTGTGCTTATTGTAGGATGTGTTGGGCTTGCTCTTAATCTCATCAGCGCCACATTTCTCCACGGTACGTTTCCTTTCCCTCCCTTCCCTATACGTCTCTTCTCACCACCCTCAGAGCATGATCACGGCCACGGCCACGATCACGGACACTCACATTCCCACTCCGAAGTCCCCGACCATACCCACGCCTCGGAAACTGAAATGCAAGACCAACACTCGCACTCTCACGAAGACCACGCATCCCACATCCACCTAACTAGTCCGTCCAAACCACAAGGCATGGACCTCGGAATCATGGGCGTCCTAATCCACGTCCTAGGCGACGCCCTCAACAACATTGGCGTCATAATTGCCGCGCTCATAATCTGGTTCACCAAGCCGTCGGGCCGATTCTACGCGGATCCTGCTGTATCTATGTGGATCGCCATCATGATACTCGCGTCTGCAATCCCGTTGACGAAACGGAGTGGTGCGATATTACTGCAATCCGCACCGCCTGGTGTGCGTCTCGATGATGTTAAACACGATCTCGAATCTATCCCTGGGGTACAGAGCGTGCACGAACTCCATGTTTGGCGCCTGGATCAGAAGAAGGCGATTGCGTCAGCGCATGTGGTTGTTAGTGAGGAGTCGTTAGCGACGTTTATGCTGAAGGCGCAGACGTTCTCGGAATGTTTACATGCATATGGGATTCATTCTGCGACGTTGCAGCCCGAGTTGCTGCCGAGGGGGAGCGGGGATGGGGATGACAGTGGGGTGACGACGGGCACAGAGGCGAGTAGTCTGGCAGGAATTATTAGGCAGAGGGCGCAGGGAGTTGCGAGGTGTGGGTTGACGTGTGGGACTCTTTGTGAGCCATTGATGTGCTGTAATTAGTGAACGAATCGCCGCCAAGGGCATACATTCTGGATCCTCTAAATCGGATTGGATTGAAAACCATTCACAACATAGACTTTCAAACAGATCAAATCCTGCCAGAATTCCTATTCCATGTTATCGACCAGTCGTGAAGAATCGTTCCACGTGACCTCAAGCACCAACCCCACCCCTCCACAAGCAGTCTAGCGTAGCGGGGGACAAATTGCCCGCCATTTATCGCCGGTCCCAGACCCCGACAAAATATCTCTCTCACCTCACGCAACTGAACTTTTGCAAACCACAAATTCCACACACGCCCCTCGCGCACACGCACATTTCCACACCCACCAAACTCCACCCTACCACCTCACCCACATCTATCACTAGCCATGGGAAACGGAGCGAAGTAAGTCGTCTTTGTACCAGGACAGACGAACAAAAACTAACCCAACATTTCGTACAGAGCCCAACAAAAGCGCGAGCGCAAAGGCGGAAAAAGCGGTCCCGGCGAAGCAAAGAGCCAGTTGAAATCCGTACGTCGGTCCCAAAGGCCCCCCTCATCCACTTCCCCCATTTCACCCTTCCCTAGCCCGATACATATCCACCCCCACCTGCCTCCATACAGCCTCCCCCGCGTTGTGAGAATGGCGCTAACTCGTTTGGTGGGTGTCTAGAACGCTGCTGCCCTGACTATCAAATGCAAAACGTGTTTCCAATCCTTCCAGAGCACGACGAACCGTAAGATGCTGGGGGATCATGCGACGAATAAACATGGAAAGCAGTTTGAGGACTGCTTTGAGGCTGATGATGGGGTTGCGCGGTGATGCGATTCCGTGCAAGCTCTGGGGTGAAGGGGGCGTGTGGGGGGTGGGGGATGAGGAGATGAGGGTAGTGATGGGAGATGAGAGATGAGGGTGGCGATGGGAGATGAGAGATGAAAGTGGCTATGGAGATGAAAAATGCAGTGGTGAGGGGTAGGGAGACAAGGGGAATATGGGACGAGGGGACGAGGGTGGCAGGGGGTTAGGAAGAGGCATGAGATTACGATATACCACAAACAGATTCATGTGTGAGGCGAGGGATGAACGAATTTGCACGAGTCACATCCAGTCATATTCTTCAGATAGGCATGACTCGTCATACGAGTGCTCTCCGAATCAACTATTTCTTTCTCCTAGAAGGATAAACATGCATATAACGAATGGACTAGAACCGTGAGAAACAGTTCATCTACCGACAGGATCCTAGATTTGGATGCATCAGCGCCTATATAACCACATTCAGCCCCCAACATCCCAATGCACTCTTGCCAGCCGTTAAAGCATCGAGCATGATAATTTTCTAACGATTGTAATCTCGGCCAGGCTAAAACAGTTTATTCTTTTAGTCAAAATCCCCAAAGTCCAAACTCCATATAATACATCCATGGATCCTTCCACAAACCCCTGGTCTTGCACTTCGCTCCTCCTCTTCTTGACCTCCTGCCTATCCCCTCCTTCCTAGCAAACGAACTCTTCTACTGCGTCTTCTTAGCCGCTCCTACCGCAGGACTAGAATACAACCAAATCGCCACAAACCCCACCCATCCCGCCACCGTAACCCAAATCCCTGCAATCCAAACCCACGCCCCACTAATCTGCCAACTGCGCGGCCACTCATCGTGTGCGAAATGCCTCACAGTAACCTGTTCTTTCACCTCCACATTGGTCAAAAAAGGACGACGGTAGTTAATGCGGAAATTAAAGATGCCGTGTTGGTCAGGTGTTTTGAAGGATACGCCGTAGAGCGTGGAATTGGCAGTTTGGGAAAGGGGAGAAAGGGGGAGACGGTGGAAGGGGGATAGCATGCTGAACTCGAGTTGGACCGAGTCGCTAGGGGGAGGGGTGAAGGGAGTCCAGTGGGTGTGGGAGTATTCGGAGATGGGGACTTGAAACGACTGTTCGTGCATTTCAGTTAGCCATGTGATCTAATCTGATCTGCGCGGATCGAGGGTTAAAGGGTGGGAGACTTACGACATCATTTTTAATTCGATAAATCTTCGGATTATTCTGTGGTAGTGCCGCACTCGAATTGCTCTTCTTCCCAGTCCCTTCATTCAAATAGTGCACCATCTTCCCCACCCTCAACACCCCAGTCTCCTTGAACGCCCACTCCGAAACCTTGGCCACGAAATCCCGATTCGCAGTCTTCACCGCCTTGCCATTAAGGCTCGCCATGGCTTCGAACCACGCATCCTGCAGCATCTCTGCAGACCCGAGGATCGTCAAGCGCGCCGAATTATGCGCTTGCAGTGTGGAGACTAAATTGAGTTGCTCGCCGACGGCAAAAGGGTCTTCGACGATATCAGCCTCGTCTTTGGGGTTGTAGCTGTATGCGGTGCTTGGTGCGCGAAGAATGGGCGCCAGGAGCGGAGATTCGTTGCCCAGGGTTTGGCCAACAGCTCGGGGGACGGCGATGACGCCTTCGCCGCTGAAGTAGTTTTTGACATCAGGTCGCGAGGCTTTGGGATACGGTACCAACAGAACATCGTGTTTATCCTTTGCCGATTCGCCGTCGTAGTTGAAGTGATCTACAACGAGCGAGGTTCTGTCCGATGGTAGATGAATGTCGAGTTCGAGCAGCAACGATTGAACGGCGGTGGGAGTAGCGTGGTCGCCAGAGAGTGTAAGCAGGATGTTTCCTTCCTTCTTCATGAACTCGAGAAGTTGATTTGCGGTGAGAGCGGGACCAAGGCCCTTGGATTTAGCGGGGAGAAGGAGGAGGTGGTCATACGCGCGTTCACCGTGTTTTAGTAGGGAGAGAGATGTTGATTTGGGTGATTCGAAGGTAAGATGAAAGCCTCGAGCTGTGGATTGGAATTGTCAGTTGAGTACTGGCCGAGAATTGCCCATCCTTTCCTAGGCTGTGAGAGGAGTAGAGGTTCGAGACGGAGCGTTACGAGAGTTCTATCAGGTCAAGTCGACACATTACTCCAGAAACCTCCAGAAACCTCCAAGCTCCGGAATTGAGGGCGGGGCAGTAACAATTACGGCACACAACTCATCACTGCCCCTCTCTCTTCCCCAAACACCAAAATTAAAATCTTCACATACCTTCCAAGTCCCCAAAGAAACCCCCAAACCGCTCCTTCTCCGCCGCCTCCTCCAATACAACCAACAATTTCCTACCCGACGAACTCAACGCCTGCGCCACACCAAGCAGCACCAGAAGCAGAAATGACGACAGCCACCTCATTGTGCAAAAAATTGGGAGATGGGGAATGGAAAGACAAAAAAGGTTGCGCGGCTGGTTAGAAGCTCAATTGGAGACGTATACATTGCCAAGACTGCGCCGGGGGCGGGGCCGGAAAAACCACATGGCCGATTGGTCTGCGGTTCGAGCAGAGCTTCCGAACGAACGACGTCGGATGATTGATCGCGACTTCCATTGCGCAAGGTACCACGACTTTGTTCGACGCTTGGAGGTCAATTCCACTCCCAACCCTCCCAATTCCCCTAAGCCCCGCTCCACATTCCTACACCCGTACGTCACCCTTTCCCTTTCCCTTTCCCTTTCCTCTCCACATCTCCCTCCAATCCCCCAATTCCCTCCTCTTCACTCACCCCTCTCTCTGTAGACACCCCATCCCGCCGCTGAAATGTCCTCAATCGCCCCTTCCTTCTTCAAACAGCCCTTCCGCTACATGCGGTGGGCATCCGTCAATAAACCCGCATACTTCTATTCCATTGTCGTCGGCTGCATCGGGCCCGTTATGATCTTTACTGTTCCGCCGATCCGAAGTTATCTTGGGGATGAACAGAGGCCTAGGATTCCGCAGACTTATCCAAGTGAGTGGGCTTTTACTTGGGCGTGGGCAGAGCGCGAGAAGGGGAGTACTTTAGACCTGCAGCGCTGACGAGCGAATAGTTCCTACAGGACCGCGACCGCGACCTGAGGGGTTTGATGACGAATGAGCGAACGAAGGGCCATTGGGGAAGGAAAGTAAGGGGAAGTAAACGTGAATAGATGCGTTAAAACGATTTCCATCAGTGGGTGCAGGAGGATCTGGAGTGCCCTCACTTCACGACGGAGTCAGAATTATGACTAGAATGGTGTAAATCTTTTACATTTTTTACATTTTTTTTTTTACCTGGGATAGCGATGCCAATCCCCTCCGTGTACAAAGTATCCCCCTTTCCAATAAAACTGACAAACTTCATAAACACCACAACGCCCCCCGAGATTCCTTTTGGTAGTCTGCTTGTCCTATCTGGCTCTGACTCCGACTTTCGTGATGATGGCGGTGTCTGCATGGGATAGGAAAGCTGGTGGGTGGTGGGCAGGGAGGCGGAAGGTAAGAACAGCTTTCTAGAGAGCCGGAGCACATGACCTGGGACAGAAGATCCAAGTGGCGGGGGCTCGGGACTTATTTTTGACGCTTCTTCCCATACGCCGCCGCGAGGTCCAACTCCACCTGATCATCTCCCGTCTCACGACCCCGCTTCCCTGAACTCTCCGCAATCATCTCGCCAGCGTATCGTCGCGCAGCTGCCAAGTTCTCCTGGACGATCTGATTCCCCCCCGGCCGCTTCTCAGGTCTCCCCGTCCTGCCCAAGGTCAAGCTCCCATTTTCAAACACCGGATCCTCACCACCCACCAGCTCCCTCAACCAGGGATAATCCTCGCGATCCAGCTCCACACACGTAAGATAAGGGACCGGATACCGGTGAACATCAAGCTGGCAATTTGAATCCAAAACCCTCTGTTTCTGCACCAAATCCTGGAACCCGATTTTCATTTCCGCGAGATGGTTTTCCAGCACATTCATCGCCTTCTTCGTAACGGGGAACTTTTTGTTGAACTGTCCCATGACGTCTTTATCCATATACGCATCCCCGCCTTTCGCTACGCGGGAATACAGCGCGAAGCCGCCGTCAGGAGAATGCGCACCGCTGCCCATGATAACCTGTTGCGCGAACCAGTGGCGGAAAAACCCCAGCGCCATCCAGACGAGGATGTCTTTAGCGTAGTCTTCGCGCTTGACGGGGCGGAAGTCGCTGGGCGCTGCCATGTTCCCTGGGTAGGTGGATGCGAGTAGCGATTCAACGCGCTGCCGCTTCCGCATTAGCAGATTGTGGTGTTTTTCGCACACCGCGCGGATCTCGGCACCTAGGGTGGCTTTGTTGGTATAGGAAATCGCATTCCAGCTTCCAGAGAGATGAACAATAGCTTCCTTGAACATCATCTCAGACTTGATCTTCAGCGCTAGATCTGCCCAGTGGCGCGGGTTCGTCTGGATCGCGCGAAAGAGAACCTGTCCGTGCTTGAAGAATGCGGCGTCGATGGGCTTGCTGATCACATTGACGCAGCCGAGATATTCGGCGATTTGGAGAATCGAGATGGCGTCTTGGAGTGCGCACATCATGTCTGTGTTAGAGATGGCGAGGTCTTTTCCGTAGAAGGCGTAGAGCAGGGATTCGTAATGTTCGAAGAATTTGGTGGGCTCTTTGCCATTTTCATTGAGCGTGAAGATATGCGTTGCATTGATGGGTTCGGCTTTGTGGTTGAGTTTCTAGGGGGGTTGGTTAGATTGAGGCGATTAGGGAAATGGAGCCCTAGGAGGCTGGGGGGCTTACGAGGAGGGCCAATTGCCCGGCTGGGTAGTCGTCATTGGGCAGCTTGCGCAACTGGAACATCCAGCGCGTGTACTTTCCCGTGGCCAATGTACGGGGAGCAAGTTTCGCGGCGTTGGCTTCTATGAGGAGATCAGCGAAGAAGGGGGAGTTGCGCGCGAGCACATTGGAATGCAGGTTGTAGCGGTGCTTGGAAGTGAGGATAACCTCAACATCCTCGGGTTGATCCATGGCGCTGTAGAGTTTGCAGTTGGTAGTAGCAGTGAAGCCTGAGGTGACGGTATTGTAATAGGTCAGCGGTACCGTGATGCTAGCGCCGGCGCCGGTTTCCGGGAGGAGGAAAATTAGCTGCTGGGGTGAGGGCAGAAAGACTCGTTGTTGTTGATCCTTGAGGTCGTGGACGCCAAGACCAAGAGTGGGTGGTGATAGATTGTTAGAGCAGGTTGAGGGTTTAAGCACAGTTTGCCGTGGTTTACTGACTACGATTGTTCCAGGTAGAAGTCTTCATGGCAGCCAGTTCAATAGAATGCAATGAGAGAAAGTGAAGGTACAGGAGTGTTTGAAAGAGAAGGGGTGAGGTTTTCAAAGTTGAGAGTGTTTTTAGGTCACCATGAAGTTGAATGGGGAGATGACCGAGAAGCTATGTTCCGCTTAGTTGTAGATGGGAGCGTGCGGGCCTGAGATATCCTTAAGCGCGCTGGAGCTTCGAAATATCTGAAGTTATGGGAGAGGAAGAGAGTAAGGGAACCAGACAATGTAGAAACCAATAGAAGAAAATCATCAGCTTCATTGAATGAGCATTACTCGATTCCTCTCTCTCTCGTCAAATCATCTCCCACACTTGGCCGTTTAGATCCTCTAGCAGAGGCCTTGAGACTACTTTTTGGCTTGGTCCAGATTCCCTCTTCTTAATGTAATCGGGTCAATTGCTCAATGCAATACTTTCAGTGTGAGTGACCATGTGTTATAAATCATACCTCTCATACCATCCCTTCACATCTTACTCTCCGCCTCCAACACAGCTGGCATTCGAACCTCGCCCACCCTCAACTTTCTCCAATCCTCCTCATACACTTCCTCAACATTAGGATACGGCCCAAGCGGTGTGATCGCCAGTGGATTGACTTCCGAATGGCTCTTCGTGTACTAGAACCCCAATCAGCTCACCGAAGTCAAACCCCACACAGCCCGAAAGAGATTTTGGTACTTACATTCTCCTTAATATGCCTAAAATCCGTACTCTCCCTAAACCCCTCTACATTCCAATAAAGCCCCTTAAGCCAATTATTCAGCACCGGATAGTCATGTCTCACCGTCCCCAGGTTCGTCTTAAAATGCTGCACATACACCGCATCAAACCTGACAATCGTCGCATACAACCTCACATCCAGCTCCGTCATGACATTTCCCAGGACGAATGGTCCACCGTTCTTAGCGATTAGGGCTTCGGCTTTATTGAGCGCAGCGAAGAGTGGGATGACGCCGGCCTCATAGTCTTCCTGCGTGCGTGCGAAACCGGCGCGGTAGACACCGAAGTTGATGCTCATTTGCATCCAAGGGGAAAGGTCGTCGATTTGAGTGCGGAGGGCGGCGGGATATAGGTCGATGGATGCGAGGCTTGGGGGTAGCATGGTGTTGAAGGCTGTTGGGAGCCAGCGGAGCATTTCGGCAGATTCCTACAAATTACGAATCTTAGTAGGTTTACCATACACGTACTGGACAGCTGTTCAATTGGCGAAGTGGAGGGGAGATGCCGTACGTTGTTGACGATGGTCCCGGTCTTCTTATCCCATAGTACAGGCACGCTATATTTCCCCTTATACTCTTTATCCGCCGTGAAGTATATCTCATGCAGGAACTTCGCTCCCAACAGATGATCGACTGTCGCATTTGGATACTCTTCATTCGACTCTGGAAACCGCCAACCTTCGTCCCCTTTGGGATACGGCTTTACGACTGAAAGCGTAATGATGTCGGTGAGATGCTTGATGTGTCGAACGAGGTTTACGCGGTGTGCAAAGGGACAGAAGAGGCCTAAAAGTGTTCAGCATGGTGCTTTGACGTGGACGCAGGATTAAGTAGGACGGGACCTATGTAGAGATGGTATCGATCCTTTTCTGGTAGGAATTGGCCTCCTTCAGAGATTATGCCATGCCAGCCGTCCGATGTCCCAGCTTTGTGGATTTCGGCGGTCATTGTGAATGTTGTTCTGGGGTTCGGTGCTTTGGTATGCTGGGGCGGAGCAGGCCTATTATCTCGGATTTGGGAGCAAGAGACGCTGCCAATTTGTACCCTCCGAGTAGAAAGATTATTGATCAACCTCCGGTAGAGCCGAAATATCATACAAATCAGGCTCGCCAAAGGTACACGACACGACGTCAATGGGGGGGAAACCGGCAGAAACGGAGCGGTGGTTGAAGCGGTGAAGGTGGGGTTAATAATCAGAGGGTCTCTGGTGGGGTCTCCGAACACACTTTCGAGAACAGCATAAGTTTTGCTTTTATAAAATATTAATGTATTTGAATTTGTGAAAATGACTGTGCCGACGGGATACTAGAGACATCTACGCGTGGTAAAACAAGCTTGAAGGAACAGACAATTTGCTGAAGCAAACGTCCAAATCCCAATCTCCACCCAAATGCTATATTTTCTATATATTTCCATTCAATGCCCTATTTCTCCCTTTCATTAAGCTCAACCGCGCTTACGGGAGGACTCTCACCTCTAGTTTCAGCCTTACGACCACCACAGCATCCACAGCAACCTCCACCCCTCTGATAACCTTCCCTGAAACAAAGCCCTGGATGGAAAGCATTCAGAGCCAAAACCGCAGCCCCGACGATCGCTCCTTCCAGCCCGATAAAGTACTTCTGCGTCTTGATGAGATGACCGTTCCACCCCTCACTCAACTCAGCCACACGGTATACAGAGCGCGTGAATATGCATAACGTGGCGAAAGACAGCGCAATGAGAAATCCCTTAAAGGCCCAAGATTGTCGGAGCCTAGCGTGCGTCGGGTCCAGCGCATTCTCCGCGCCCAGTCCGCGTGTTCGGCGAGTTGTGCGGATGGAGAAGTCCAGAGCGAGGGCGATGAAGATGGCGAGTGTACCAACCTGGATTGAAAGACCTGCGATCATGATGTTGTTGCCGGTGGTGGGATCTCTGTCGCTGTGACTAGCTGCCGAGGCGATGCCTCCGCCTGCTGCTTGGAGCATTAGGGACGCGAGATCGCAAGGGATGAAGATGCGGGGGTAGCTCATGGGCTTGATGCGGGAGTTTTGCGGACCGAATGTCAAGACGATTCGGCTGAGGCAGAGGTAGATTCCGGCAGCGAGGAAGGCAGGCGCGATTGTTAGGCAGACGATTTGGATGAGGAAGGGGTTCTACTTGTCGAGTCAGTGATTCATATTGCATCTATGAGGTGCGCGAGGGGAATTGCAGGAACAGCTGCTTATTTCCCTGGCCAGATGGACTTAAAGATGAAGCGTACCTCAGCGAAAGGATTCTTATGGCTCCCAATCCGTCCGACATATCCAATAACCTCCAGTGCGCAACCGCATACCATCGCAATCGTGAAGCCTACGAATCTTCTTGATAACACTCCTTGTCCAATGAACAGCACCGTCGATAATGCAAAAAGTGCCAGGAAGAGTGCGTTCGCGGGGAGAGATGGTATGTAGCCCCAGTAGGAAAGGCTCAGCGGACATGTTTCTAGCGTGCACGAATTCCGGAAGTTCTTCCTGTCGCTGGCCTTGCTACGAGGATCGAGGGCGTGTGTGAGGAGAGCGTATGCTATGGACGCCATTTTTGTAGTTGGCTATGATAGGATAGCCTTGAGAAAGAAGGACTGGTGGTAGATGTACTATGCTCTGAGACTGATGAAACTGGTCCGGAATGAATAGACGACAATGTCCTAAAGGATCAAATAATATCCGGCGGCGAAGCTCAAATACGAAGAAGGATGAAGTTGAGTATGACTGCAGCGCTTATGGTGACTGAAGCCTTCAAACAACGAACGCAATGCCCGGATCGTCACCTGTGAACAACTCTAAAGAAGAAAACGAAACTGCTCGAGGTGGAGTGGAGACAAGAATACCAAGGCATCAAAAGAAGCGTCTTACCCATGAGACATTCCGCCGTTTATATCCCGTCGAAGCCCATGTACATTCTCGTATTGACGAACACCAAGCCTAGTTCCGCAAAGTTTCAAGACGGGAGCGTCGCGCGATGGACCTGTTTTGGCCACACTAATGAAAGACAGGTGTGAACATCGGAGATGTGTGATTGGTTGGAGATGGAGAGATAATGTTAAGCGACGCTGACGGTCGGCGACAGTGACCGGTTTGCCGTCCTCGCTTCGAGGGGGAGCGCGTTCCAGAAGCCAGATTCCTGAAATGGTATTTTAATCGATGGGGCTGAAGGAAATATACTTCCTCCACGAATTAGCGGACTCTCTCTCTCTTGTAATTCACAAAATGTCGCTTAGGACTTCCCTTCGCTTTTATTGCTCTCCTACACTCGCGCAAGATACTATGCTTTTGCGTTCGCCTTCGTAGTCTCATGGCGTGGAGCGTCCAGTGTGCAGCCGCACTTGTCTGGTGAGCCTGTTTGGTTCACATATTCGGCAAGGACACAGGGTTGGTAAGGGTAGGAAACATGGTTTGCTAGAGGTGGCCCTCTCAGGTCGGGCCACCAAACCGAGTGTTAGAATACCTACCTTGATGTCATCGGGTGGGAGGCGTGAAGGGGAGAGTTTATTCAAGACCTAGTTGACCGGTTTGGGAAGACACTAGCGCTGCCAAATAGATCTAAGATTGTATGCTTTTACAAGCTAAGGTATGCAACGTTGGAAATATTGTAAGAAAGGAGTACTGAGCTGTGGTGGGGTTTTCTTTTTAGAGAGGTTTATGCCTTGCATGACGCTAACTACTAACACAGAGATTCATCGTGGGCGAGATTTCTGGTTGCCTTGACCTATCTAACGCAATAAGAAAAATTCTCTCTCTCTCTTAGACTCACTTTGATACGAATAGATTCGGGAAAATTGCAGAAAGACTGTGAGACAGTAAGGAATGTTGTCTAGGGCATAGTTGGCGCAGCTAATGAACTGGTGCTAGCTCGACATCAAGCTCGACATCAAGCTCGACATCAATGTAATTATGTTTCTTCCTATGGGCCTGTTCGCGGTTATATATATGGCTGATCAACTTGAAGCTAGGAAATAGTGTTGAAATATTACCGTGTCCCATACAATGCCGTCCTTCGATTCTTCGATGCACAAAGTCTAGTGTGGACAGTGCCCTTAGATAAGGACTCGGAGGACGATGGTCAATCTAAAGCTATTCAAGACATTTATAATAGCCTCAAAACACAGCGTCGTCTCGCTCGTTGTGGTTTTTATGGCACAGGGCGAGCCTTACATATCAAGTGCAGACCACGTATTGAACCCTCAATAGGAATTCACAACTTGCCATCGAGTACTGCTACTTCTGAAAATAAGTAAAAAAAAAATCACCCTTATGGCCATGTCTTCTGAGTTCATGTAAGTACTCCAGATCAATTGGATCAAGCCTACAAATGCATGGCACGGAAATTATGACTACCAGGATGGAATGACCCGAAGGTCGACCGCAAGCACGTCTTAGTTAACTAGTGAAGCAAAGAATAAAACTGGCCATGGCTTCTTCCACAAGATAATGCGGGCGATTTAGATATTTTTCCCGAAACTCCGCGCTTCGTTGACTCTCTGGCCCGAAGGTCGCATGGTACTATCATTATCACAATTCGTGATAAGAGTGTGGGATTGAGACTGATTAACGGAAAAGTGACTATGGTCGGGCCATGATGTCGAGAGGATGCAGAGCAGTGGTTCGGATCTCATCTAGCATAGGAGTATAATCCGGATTCGATGGTCACTCAAATTCTCCTGGAAGAACTCTGCATAAATACCTAAACAAAGATCATCCTGATCCCCGCGGCGACTCAGAAAGTGAAAAGTCTGTCGCAAGAACTTGGAAATTATCTTTCGATTATATTGCTAAAGAGAGAACGGACTAACAACTGTGCTTCTATTCAGCCTGGTGAGGGTTGGCTGACCGCCATGCTTGGCCCCTCCGTGGATATTTCTCTCCCCCACGGCTGCTGAACCTCCAGTTGAACCCCATGCTCCGTATCGTATCGTTCCGCCTTCTTACCTCTATTAGCCCTGCCATAATGCTACTCCCTGATTGCCCTTGCCTGACTCGGCTGACTCAGTATTATGCGGTAACTAATACTTCCGACATGGCCATTGAACAGCTGCCCTGTGGATTTTCCTGGCTGGGGGCGGGCTTCGCGACCACGCCTCATGCTTGCCACAGCTTTGCACAGTGCCGCGCACTTACCTATCAAGGCAGTTTAAAACCGCACCAAGAATCGTAGTGTATCCTCACCGTATTCCACAGTTATCAACGCTTACCCAACATGGCAATTTAAGAGCTCTGTGGTCCAAGTTTGCATACAGAGATCAATAGTTTTGCGTGCTTACCCAAAAAGGTAGTTTAGGCCCGCACTAAGAAATGCAGTGCATTCCACTCCACATTCCACAGTCATCAACAGACATTTATACTTACCCAACAGGGCAGTTTGAAAGTCCACCAGAAATTGTGGTGCTATCCAGAAACCCATTCTAGCAGTATTCGACGAGGGTATTGTGTACTTACCCAATAAGGTAATTTAAGACGCACTAGGAATTGCATTGCATATGCACGTATTTCGCAGTGTTCGATGGTATTTTAACTTGCCTAATCTGGAAGTTTGGGGTGGCTGAAGGGAGGTGGCTGGGGAGCAAGACGGAGACTGCTGCATACAGCAGGAAGAATGATTATGATGAACAGGAAATCCAAATAAGCTTCACACTGGAAGTGTGATTGTTATGGCAGGGGGAATGATACGAAGAGAGATGGTTGGGTCGCTGGCATGTTCACGGAACTACAGAGGGCACGAAGTAAAGGGATACAGATAGGGCCATATTAACATAATTGGGCTTAGGAACAGATTTGACAGAGGAAACCTATATCAGACGCCAATGGATGATGAGAGGGCACTCCGGCCTCATAACCCAACCTCTCGCCTTAATCCTGACGTCTCCAAAACAGCCTACTTTTCCACTTACAGGCACGTCCACCATCAGCACGTTCGCCATCAGCTATAGCCCTTCTCATCCCATGCACTTCACTCACACCCAATGGCAGAATCAATCTTGCAAATTCTAGTACCCAGTCGCACCAGGAGCCTTCTCATCCTTCCGCAGACTCAGCAGCATCTCCCTGAACCTCTGCTTCTCGCTGCCAGCTGCACCACCCTTAATGCCCTTCCCACTCAGATCCACCAACTTAGCAATGCGCTCCCAGCTCGTTCCGCCAGCGGTTGTGTCGTCCCGATTCGCAAGGAACTCGTCAGCCTCGCGCCGTGTCGCCGCCATGCCCTTCTCCTTCTTCGTGTTGTAGTTCTCGTAGAAGTCATCGATGTTCTCTTGTGCTTCCTTGATCGTCGCAGTTTTGCGCTCGGCGGAGACTTCGTCGCGGTGCTGGATGGCGAGGTCTCGGCGCTCGCGCCATGCACGCAGGACTTCTGGCTCGGGGGAGTCGGAGCGCATGGGTGTGTAGGAGGATTGGGATTGGCTAGGGAGGAAGGGGAGGGTGGAGCCGGTGATAGTACCACCGGGGGCCATGTGCTAGGCATCGTTAGAGAATCTGTGGCTGTTTGTAGCTGTTGTAGAGGGAGCAGGTATCTGGCTTACGTCGTTGGTAGTGTCAATGACAGGGAATGAACTCTCGAATCCCATCATCTCCTCGCTGCCGACGTTGGCCTGGAAGCTGCTGCCGCCGCCGCCCAGCAGGTCATCGTCGCCATCTTCTACGGTTGCCAGCTTGTCGTTTGGAGAGGCGAATTGGTTTGCATCGTCGCCAAGGAGTGCCCGTTCACGGGACAGAAAATCGTCTTCATCAGCAGCGTCGCCGACCAGGTCGAAGTTGGCTTCACCGCGTGCCTCTGTTTGGCCTGCGTCGGACCGTTAGTTGGGAGCTGTTCCGGGGGGTTGAATCACCGGAATGGGCTTACCAGCGTCGATTTCGTCTAACGAGGGGAATCGGTCGGCCATTGTGTAGATGTGGGGTTGTGAGAAGATGGGGAGAGAAGCTTTGTAGGGAAGGTATGGAGAGATTAATAAGTTGGGTGTGGTGTTTGTGTCAAATAATTAACTTGTCCTCAGGTCCACGGGGGAAGCGTGCCAAGAGGTCTTCGGCAAAAGGCTATTCCGCGCCGACGGAGCTCCAAACAGAGCTTCGTCGCACCTCCGAGACCAACTCCTCGTCGGACCGACTCACTTTCACTTGATTCAACAGTCCCGACACTGCATTTATCCGACACCGGTGTATGTAAGGCCCTCTCTCCATAATATATAGTATTTTGCCTAGCTTCCCTCTCCGGGCAACCACCATCTTCATTCCTTACCAAACTCGTACAACTAGGACAGCATCATCTGACCCCCCACAGAAAATGGCGTTTACAGACGATGGCGTCAAGGCGAAGCTGTCTGCCCTAAATGAAACTCAAGAGTCTATTGTCACCTGTAGCCAGTGGATCATGTTCCACAGGTACGTTCCTCCTCCCCCACGTGCCTCGTTAAGAGTATAACGGATGGACTTATCTGGCCTCTAGGAGACACGCTGATCGCATTGCCCTCATCTGGCTGCAGCGCGTCAAAGAAACCCCTCCAAACAAGAAGCTCAATCTGGTATATCTGTGCAACGAGATCGTCCAGCAAGGCCGGATCCGGAAGAAGCCCGAGTTCCTCGAAGCCTATTCTCCCATCATCGTTGAAGCCACCGCTGTAGCATACAAAGGCTCAGGTTCAGACATTCAGGGCAAGATTCGTAGGGTTGTAGAGGTCTGGCGCCAGCGACAGATCTTTGCGCCGGGAATCCAGGACGAGATTGAGAAGGCACTTGACGGTATGCGCCTATCTAAAAGCCTGTGTACTAGGCACTTATTCCTGCAGAAATCGACCGCAGTCGCTCTAACCGAAAGCCTGCTCTCGGAGGCTCCCTGTTTTCTGGCTCCTCCGTTCCGCCTGAGCTCTCATCTGTCGCGCCTCTGGCAACTACGCTCCAGAAGGCTGAACTCCATGCCAAACCGACAATTGCAACGGCAAATGAAACATATGATAAGGTCACGCACCCAGACTACGATGCTACCCCCCAGCTCCACGCCGCTGCTCTCGCTGCCCTCGTCCACAAACTAGCAACTGCCGAATATGCCGTCTCAGAAAGCATCAAAGCACGACACGCGCTCATATCTGGACTGGAAAAACTTCTCGAGGCCAACAAAGCCAAGCTCAGCGCTGAAGAAGTCCAAAAAGCCGATCTGAGCGCACGGAAAACAGCCGTCGAAGGCCGCCGTGCTGAAGTGGAACGCGCGCTGCTCGCTAATCTATCTGCCAGCGAAACCGCTGCGATTTCTAAAGCGCCACTTGCAGTTAATTCGACCCCACAGCCAGCATCCCTTGCTCCCGAACGCCCAGATATTGAGGAACTCACTCCGCCGCCAATGGAGTCCTTCACCCCCGTCGGCTCCCCGAAGCCAGACGTCCCAGATGATGTCTTCCCGGCCCCAATCTCCCACCCCATTGAACCCGTCACTGTTCCCGCTCTTCCAGGCGTGTCTGCCGTTTCGGCAATTTTGGCATCAGTACCGGCGACGGTTATTAGTGCCTCGAATCCGAGTCCAGCCCCAGCACCGGGTGCGGATCTCTTGAGTAGTCTGACAAACGCGAGGGCGGATGATGGATCGAATGGAAGTCATAGTTATGGTGCTGGAGCAGGTGGAGGGGGAGGGGGAGTGAGCTATAAGAAGAGGAAGATGAGTCGGAGTGCGGCGGAGGATGAGTATGCGGCGTTTGCGGGGGACGGTGATATGGATGGTATTGATGCTGATGTTGGGGGTTTGATATGACCGGTTGAAATAACAGAGTGCTTGAGCGAATGTAATGCTCGTGTATGAATATGGGTATAAATATCCGGAATTGCGGTTTGGGGAAAGCACCACACCGAAAATGGCAATGGAATTGAGGGACAGCGGTAGGAAAACACCGGGGCACTTCACAGATGGCTGCGTCTACTTTCTTGTAGCGGGCATTTGTTGTGGTGATGGGGGCTAGGTGCGCATACCCCTGGAATTGTTAATATTACATACGTTTTCGTGGGTCCATGTCTCACTCGTGACAACCTCTAGTTAGCAAGCAAGCGATAGGCAACCTGTTCTCACCGCGCCTTGATGACGACTCTGAGGTCTTCCGTCCGTCTGGCTTGATGCAGAGGCAACCCTCAGTTTGATAGCATACATCACGACAGCATGCAATTCCCTTCTATTCCGTCTAATTTCCCCATCACGTCGCACCAACCATAGATCCCTCCCTCTCAACCTTCCCCTTAAACCCTCAAGACTCTGGGTCCCCCACCACCGGCATCTTCCCCGTTTTCTCAATCTCTTCCATGGCCTTCTTCCCCTCCTCCGTCGTCGCATCGATAACCCCCTCTTCCAAGCTCAACATTCCGCCTTCGCCCAGCTTCCCTACAATCTCCTCCGCTTCCTCCACACTCATCTTCGCCAGCACTTTATTCACCTCATCTAATTTCCCACTCTCCAGCGCACGCTGCAATCCGGGAGGGAAGGACTCGAAGATTTCGCGGGCGTGGAGCTGGGCTTCACGGGCAGCAGGGTCATCTGAGGCGGGTGCTGCGGGAGGGATGCTGATGTTGATGGTGGTGTTGGGGTCTACGGCATGCAGTTGGATTTGCTCGACGCCTTCCGCACTTTGTGGGTTCTCCGCTCTCTCTTTTAGGATTTCCGCAGCCCGCATGCGGATGCGGGCGTAGGTCGAATCGACATCATCCATGAACAGTTTCTGCGCCTGGTGGTCTTTTGTCGTAATCCGCTTGAAAAACAAGGCAACCCCATCGCGGCCGCCGAGTTGGCGGCAGTATTGCAAAAGCAGCGCCTGGTGCACGCACTGTCGGGCGTGCTTTTGCCGGGAATCGAGAGCGGCGTTGAAGGCTTCGACTAGGAGGCCGTCAGTGGAGGATTCAGAGAGGATGGAGGGGTTGGTGCTGATGAATTGCAGGTAGGAGGGGTAGTCGTTGGGTTTTAGGGCGGCGAATTCGAGAGCGAGGGGAGAGGCCGAGATGTCGTCAGAGGTGGAGGTGCCTTCTTCGATGTCGCCGTCAGCGCCGGAGGATTGGCCTGTGTCGGTTCGGGCCGCGGAGAGGCGGGAAGGGGGGTTGAGGAGTTCGACGGTAGAGGAGGGCTTGCTAGCTGAGGTGGAGGAAGGTGAAGGGGTGGGTTTGGCGGGGGCAGGGTCCTCTTTGCGGACGTTGGAATAGTCGAAACCTGTGTGGAGGTCGTCGCTTGTGATATGTCGTTTCTCTTCCTTCTCTAGCTCAGCGAGCTTGGCTAATAGTTCTTTCTGTAACCCTTCAACCCTCCCTTTGTGTGCTTCCAACCCGTCGATAAACCCATCTAACCGGTTTTCCGCCTTCGAGTCGTCGACTTCTTTCTTCACCTGATCCACCAAACTCGCCATCATCTGCGGATACGTGGGCTTCTCTTTAATATGCTCATGCACACCCTTCGGCGGAGGCGGTGGTCTATCTTCTCCCGCTTCCGCCATACTCTCCATCATACTCTGAAATACCAGCGCATCTGGATTCCCTTCCGCACCTTTATGCGACTTCAAGGCTGTGAGCAGTCGGTTCATGCGCTCAGTTAGGCCATCGTTAATGATGCGCTCGTATTTGAGGGTTGTGATTTGGTGACGTCGCCGGTCCCGCTCTTGATGGATTTGGGCTTGTTTGGCGCGGATGAAAGACTTTTTGTCGACGTTGGGGTGAACTTCTATGTCGGAGTCGTCGGAGAGCTCGAGGGCGTCCTAAGTTAAGGCTGTTAATATATAGAAAATAGGAGAGAGAAAAGGGGGGCAGCTTCATACCCATTTACTGTAGTCGACAACCATGGTTGCTTGGAGGGGCGAGCGTGTGTGGAGGTGTTGAGTTTAGGGAGGCGTAGTTGTTGATGGTGGGGTGGACGAAGTGGGATGTCGAGAAATAGAGAGCTTGGGCCACACTTACAGTAGGTCTTAGCGAGTGCTAAGCCGTGGAAATTTCTAGCATCATCTTCACGGCATCCTTTCTTTCGGGATCACTTCTTTCGGTATTGCTTCTTTCTCATGCTACTGTTTAAGGTCGGCGTCACTTTGTTTAATGGTCGAGCAAGCGCTGATACAATTGATACCTCACATCCTGATAGGCTACAACCCTCAAGCTGAGGAGAACAAGATTTGCTGACACATAAACCCCCTTCACCAACGTCCTGATTTATCTCTACTCTTCTCTACTAATACGACGAACGCGATTCAACTTCTCTGGGACCTGCTTTTCTTGAGTAACTGGCTGTCGATCAAGTCACTTCTTCACGCTCAACCCCGCAAACGCGGGGCAATTCTTCCTCTTTGCCATGTGTGGGGCATCTCTGAACATGTGCAGCAACGGCTTTCAATTTTGTGATCTTACTCTGTCTCTCTCCTCCCCCGAGAGTCTCTTTCTCGGTCACTATCCTTTTTGTCGTTTGCCGGTTTTTTTCGTTACGGGAGCTGCCACACCTCATCAACAAGCCATCCTCCCAGAAATCTATCCCAAGAAAAGTTTGGCCTCTTAAGAGCCTTCACAAAACCCTCCCTAGCCATCATGAACGGGTCCTGCCAATGCGGTTCCGTGAAATTCACCACCCCAACCAAGATTCCCATCAACCTCTACCACTGCCACTGCATCGACTGCCGCAAACAGTCTGCTAGCGCTTTCGGCACCTCGGCTATCTTCCCATTCTTCAAGCTACCTGAGGATAGTCCCGCCGTTTCTCACTTCTCGAGAGTATGTGACAGCGGAAGACGCCAGAACTGCTACTTCTGCAATAAGTGTGGCAGCCGCATCTTACACGCCCACGTCTTCGATAACGAGGACCCAAAAGTAGTCGCGGTGAAAGGGGGGGTCCTGGAAGGATTGAATTGGGAGGGTGCGAAACATATCTTTTGCAGAACAGCAGTTGTGCCTATTCCGGAGGGCGTGGAGAGGTGGGAAGCAGAGCCGGATTTTGGGAAGGCAAAATAGGGTTTGATGGCCTTCGCCACGACAAAATTTTACAGGAGGATACGATTGTCCTAAATTCCAAGTTTATTTTGTTTGTGTCGAGTGGACGGATGGAGGAGGTGAAGCATTGTACAGCAACAACACTGCCCATAATATTTCTCCGGAACAAAATAAATATGAACCCCTGGTTTATTCTATCCTATTTAATTCAGATCGAAATTTCCCGAGGTTTGCAATGAGAAGGCATCCTGACTCGTTTTGGGCTTTGAATAAGGTGACAATTGATATTCTCTCCGAAACGAACATCCACCAATCAATTTTCTTTCAGGAATCCAAGCCGCCAATTGGCCCTATGTTTCACAAATACCACAATTGCGTCGTCTCTGACAGGGGCTCTTTAGGCATTTCTTTTATTCTCCGTCATCTTCGGCTCCATGCTTTGCCAATAACACTTACTATAAAGTCAACAGCCGGGACTGCAAAGCGTCTGCGAGGAATGTGCTTTCTTCCTCTCCGACCTCTTTTCCCACATTGCTTCCAGTCCAACATCAATGTTTTGATAATTCCTCCGTCGGTCCGCCAAGCAGCTTGCGAAGAGGTCAAAGGACCAAGCTACCCACCGTTAGCGCGTTTCGTTTAATCTATTCCACTCCACTCTCTTCCAGAACCCACCCACCGCCAACACCTCCACTCAAGATTTGCCATCTCGTGGTACATGTACGACGGCATGGTGTCCCTGAAACGAAAGGCCCATAAGCTGGGGTTGAAGTATATTAAGATAATTTGACGCCCATTTATGTGAGCGCTATTCTGCTCGCCTAGTTCGCTCGATAACACGTTTTACATTTTCGTCGCAAGCAACTTGGGAAAAATTATGAAGTGTGTTATTCCCTCGCTGGGGTTTGTTGCCCTTGTTGCAGCACATGGATATGTTGATAATGCTACTATTGGAGGCAAGGACTATACGTTCTATCAGCCGTATCAGGATCCGTACATGAGCCCAACGGTGAGAGACTTCCTTTCCATTACCCTTCTTCATGGATTATTCAGCATACTAGCACATGTGCTACAAGATTGCAATCTAACATAGGAACGCATTCTATTGTCCCCTCCGGTGGGTGTTCCGGCAATAGGTCGAAGATATATGCTCCACCCTACTCAAGTTCCGTTTATAACTACCTTATGGTGCAATATTATGGTGCAATAGCTAATTAAAACTTACAGCCCCAACGTATCTCTCGAGTCATCCAAGGCAACGGTCCAGTCCAAGATGTCACTCTAGCTGACCTCCAATGCGGAGGCGATACCGTCAATGGCATCAGTGGGTCCAAGCCTGCGGCACTTCACGCAGATGCAACTGCCGGATCGAAGGTCACGCTTCGCTGGACGCTATGGCCTGACAGCCACCGAGGCCCTCTCGTCACGTATATGGCTCGATGCCCTGATTCCGGCTGCACAGATTTCATGCCTGGCACATCGTACGTCCCCCTTTCCCTCGTGCCCCTCTCTCTTTCATTCATCCGACCACCCACTATCCACTCTCCACTAATACCCCGCAAGCGCCGTATGGTTCAAAATTGCAGAAGAAGGTCGCACCGGTACAACCGACACCTGGGGCGACACACCTCTGATGAAATCTGGCAACGCGGGCGCCAGCTACACCATTCCGAGCTGTCTCAAGCCGGGCTACTATCTAGTGCGTCATGAGATTATCGCGTTGCATGCAGCGTACTCGTACCCCGGAGCGCAGTTCTATCCCGGGTGCCATCAGCTGAAGGTTACGGGATCTGGGACTACGACGCCGAGCTCACTGGTTGCGTTTCCGGGGGCATATAAGGGCACAGATGCTGGGATTACTTATGATATGTATAAAGGTGAGTGGTATTGGAACTAGGATGAAGGGGGGACGTTGTGGTTTAGATGAATGCTAATAGATTGTAGCGCAAACTTATACGATTCCGGGGCCGAAGGTGTTTACTTGCTAATTATCACATACCACTCTGCGTCAATATTTGTAGGTTGCCCCACTGAGCTAAGTTTTGGATCTACGCCGTTAGACAAAAGGATGGGTACTCAGGCCTTGGTCCCTACTTTGGAGCCAACCCGGCTTTCATCCTCTACTCACACATTTCGTTGTACATATTTCTCTTCTCATATATACTTCTCTTTCGCAATGCACTATTCACACTCACCCACTTCCCATTCCATAAGCCACAACCTTGCGTTGTCATTGAACAACTCACTCCATTATCCCCTCACAATGCCCATACCATGATTGCACCATCACTAACATCAAAATGAATTCACTTGCATAAATCCCCGGAATCCCTCGTGCATGCACAATTCTCGCTTTACAGCTCCCCCGGTCATTCATCCATCCCAGTAATCGCCATATTCCTTAACAATACTGTAACAAGGGAAGTTTAGGGACACCCTTTGCGAATATGACTCGAACAAAGCGATACGGCAATCGCGAGAAGGCTGGCCCTTCTGCGCTTACGCCTCTGGCGAGAAACACTGTTGGAGGATTACAGGGCTCTAGGTTTGCCTTGAGGGATGGAATAGAGGTTGGTGGCTGTGTCCCGTTAAAAGCCACTGGTGGTATGGAAACTTCTATGCATACCCCGAAAGCACTTCTGGATGGACCTCAGATCTATACTATATCTACCGCAAACGTCAAACGAGAAACACCCCTTGTCGTCGTCAAGGCCGGCTTCGAAGAGTGGAAGAAAGCTAATAGTGTCGCAAAAAAAGGACCAGTGAAGACACTATCTCAGCCCTTAGTCAATAAATCTATCTTCCCCGATATTCCCCGCGATCTAGTGCTTAAATTCCAGGAACTTGAGTGCGGGGATCAACTGGCTACCCATCGACTACAACAAGCTGACAACGGTAACAAGAACTCGACGGCGAGTGTTACTGTTACATCGCAGCAGACCGCCGCTCTCAATTCAAGGATAAGCATCTTGGAACATCTGGAATCTAGACCCCCTATAAATAAGGCCAATGCCGTGCCCCCAGCTCCTCAAAATATCTTAGTAAACCCATCCCGTAAGAGTCGCTTACTCAGCACTGCTTCCCCATCGTTCTCCCTAACAACCCTCTCACCGCAAGCCTCGCCAGCGGCAGAAATATTCTCACCTGCTCCTCCCTCCCTCCTCTCCTCACCCCCCAATACCACCACTACATCTCCCACCTCCTCCAAACCCCCAGCATCCACAAAACCCTTCCTCCACGCCTCCGGTTACCAATACTGGTTCCCGCAAGGCCCCTACGACCCCGCGTGGCGCCACGCTCCCATTGTAGCACCTGGCCGTCCAGGCGTGTTATACGACTCCAAATGCAAGTACACGAACTCCCCTTCATGGGCTGATATCTTTGATCCAGAGCGCTTGGAAGCAGATATAGCCAAGGCCACGTAATTGAAGTAGGAGACGGAGGAAACGGAGGCGTGAGTGGAGCCAGTGTAAAAGGGTAAGGTTAGCAAGAAGAACGTTATGGTGGGGCGGTTGAGGCAAATTGATATCTGTTTTCTAGGTTAGTGGTTGTTGGGAGAGGTTTATGGGCTATCTTGTAGTGAGAGAAGGGAACAGCCAGGGGGCATCATAGTGGGGAATAGACGGCTGCTGTGTTAGTTGTCTCGATGCGTGGCGCATATTATAGAATTGTTGAAATAAATTTTTTCAATTGGACATATTTGTGGTACTTGTGATATTTCTTACTCGACTCTAGACCGCTGCTTCCGAGGGGGGCGGCTCGTATCGCAGTGGCTCGATTATGCTGTTAGATGACGGCAGGCATAGCTATGGACGAGTCCCATACGAGCCAGACGACAGAGCTAGACGGGTAATCAGCCTTGGCTGAAGGTAGTGCAGGAAATATAATTATCGGGTTGAGATCGCGGAAGAGACGATTTACTAGGAATATTTTCTAGGACGAAGTGTTTTAGATTTTCTCGAGGCTCGCTACGGGCCTTTAATGTCACAGTATGAACTACGAATACAGTTCTTAGAAATAAAATTGACTGATCCAACAACAGGCCCATAAGGACCACTTTTAATGACTCGTACATCTCGCTCGGTCTTAGCCTGCTCTTCCAACGCCTACTCTGTCATGGCACCTAACGTAGAACATGACAGCGTAAAACTCTCTTTGATTCCAACAACATTTTTAATCGATATTCTCCTCCCATATATTATTGTTCCGTGCGTTGGGTGAGAAGCATCGCAGGGTTCGTTAGAACCAAACGAATAAAGGTGCAGGTCTGGTCTGGCCTGAGGAGCTTCGAGGCAGCTAAATAGTGGATAAAACAGCTAGTCTTAACAAAACAACTAGTCCTAAGTAGAAAACCAGTCTGAGTTCAGAACTCACATTCACTCTAGAGACAAGGTCCCGTAAGTCAAAGTCACGTGCGACAAGAAGTCCCGGAGCTCACGAACACTTCCCAAACACAGCCCCATTATATAAACAACAACTCTCCCCTCCATACCGATCTGGAGGACATGGGTTATAAATCTCACAACTGCTCTTCCATTCAAAATTGAACTTCTGCTTAAACACTCCATCCCCACCAGCGGTTTTACCTCCAAAAGCCCCCTTCGCATCCTTCCCAACCGCCGAAGTCCCCGAAACAGAAAACGTAGACAGAATCCAGAGGAATTCGTACGTACGAGTTGGAGCTAGTTGTCCGCAGTCCGGGTTCCGATATAATTGTGTCGCGTTTGTGAGAGGAGTGGAGAAGAACGTGGACGTGTCTTTGGGACCCGAGAGGAGGAGTTGAGACCATTTTTGTTCCGGTGCGACATCATTTTGCTTTCAGCATTAGTTTGGTTAGCAGTGTTTCTTCGTTAGTGGGACGTATTCAACAAGGGCTATTAGTTGCTATTGTATGGCATTACTTACAGATCCCTTTCCTTGCCACACCGTACTCATATCCACCCTCGCTTCTACTCCACCGTCCAGCATTACATTCCCCCGTACCTCCGCGTTCGTAATCGTCGACTGAGAGACTGCATCATTTAGAAATGTGTAGGAAACACTAACGTAGCACTTCCGTGTGTTCTCAGAGGATGGGATTCCGGAACCGAAGGAGGCAAGCGCAACGCTACTGGTGTCGTAGGAGAGTTCAAGGTAGGATACATCGGGGGATATGGTGCCGGTGACGTTAAATGGGCATTGTTGTTTGTTGCGGACAATAATGCCGTGGATTTGAATGTCGCTGCGGGTCGCAGTTATGCGGGTTGGCAAGAGGGTTAAAAGGAAAGTGAAAATGAAGAGGGGGAGATGGAACACTAGAGCCATGGTGAATGTTATGGTAACTTTTTGAGGTAAAGGGTTGGGAGGAGTTAATGATGTCAGGTACTTGGGTATTAACTCTTTCGCACTGTGAAAATTTCAAGGATAAAGTATGAAACCCTCCACCAGCGTAGTAATACTAGTTTAAGCATCCGTGCAGCTGTCAACGAAGGGAAATGTACCCGGCGCGTCCCCCATACCTCGTCGTACCAAAGTAATTGTAGGGTTTATCGGACTGCAGCAGGGCCAGCACACTCATCGTCGCGTGGTTTTTCAATAATTGCATGCATGCAGTCCCGAGGTTCTGGTACTACTTCGAATCTTCCCCGCATTTGTATCCCGACCCCGGAAACCAATACTATGCATTTCCGAGCATTTTTATACGAGGTTAAATATATGCTTAAATAGACCGAGAATTCGCCACCTTGTGCATACATTTCACTATACAAGAGGGTAAGGCGTACACGAGGCTGCATTATTGAAAGCAGTTTCTTCAAGAACGCCTTGCTGTTGAGCAAGTGTTAGCATAGAGTCTAGCTCAATACTGGGTCGCCATTTTCACTATTCTCTTTTAATTAGGTAACAAGGTTGTGAGGTCAAGTCTGCCCTGCTCGAGCGCGGTGGTATCCACTAACACACAGTAGAATTTACGACTGATAGGTTTGTAACAGTTCACAGGCTGGGGTGTAGGTTTGTTAAAGCAAGGAAACAAATCCCTTCTGACTCATTCTGAGAAGGCCAGTACCATCCTGGCCAGGGCGATCATGTCATCCTATCCGAGTATCACGTCCGCCACTCCGAATCCCACGGCGCCATATCCATTCTGCAGGTTTCTCCAACCTATGTCCACAGCCACACTAACCACTCCAAACCGGTGGGCCAGGAGGAACATACGAAAGCAGCTTCCTCCCAGCATTTATTTCACCAGAAACCCAAATACCTAACCACAAATTTCAGCAGCCCATAGGAAGGTTAGATATATAGGGTTGCGTACCTGGATCCATGAGATCATAAGTCCCAGGAAACTTCGCGAATTCAGTGGGAGTTCCTGCTTTTAAATGAGCATCTCGATTTGTAGATGATAATGTAGAATATCTCTTACCCCCTCCTGGACCCATAACGTTGACGTGGGCACAATTGACATAAAATTGTGCACTTCCAAGCCCTGGCAAAGGCCACATTTGCTCTATTCTCAGCAAATACTTGCCTGGAGGAGTAGTTCTGGGGATGGTGAAATTGTACTACGAATCAAGGAGAGAGATGTTAGCTAGTTAAATCTTAAAATGCGAGATAAGGAAGTGGGATACCGTACTTCCTTTATTGTAATGCTAGCAAGCTTCCACGCAGTATCGCTTGCCGCACCAGCTGATGCAATCTTGAACCAATCTCCATCACCGGCGTAATCTGCGAGTGTCTTTCCTTCCGGGACTTTCGACATGTAGATCTGAGTCGGGCCACCGTGGAAAATGCTTGGAGGGTATTCCTACGATCCCAATATTACCCCTAAGATCATTTTAAGAAACAGGTGACTTGGCCTACTGTATTTGGCAACGGGATGTTCGCCACTCTAAACCCAACCTGGTCACCAGCGATTATGTCCGCTGTTTGTGTCTTATTGGCAGAATCGATGGCTTTGCGACCACAGGTAATGCTGGGTTGGTACATTTCATCTCCGGAGTACTGTGGCCAGAGTTTGTAGAGTTCGTTTGGGTTGCTGCCCATAGTTGCCACATCCCTATTTTTGGGGCGCTCGTTAGTCTTTGAAAAATTCAAATATATCGTCATAAATGTCATACCGAACGTATTGCCATTTCGCGGACTCGGTGCCATTTACTAGAAGATGAGCGAAGACGTCTGGAGATGACCGTTAGTACCGAAATTTCATAAAATATACAGTCTATGAAAGCGCCATGGGGAGGTAGCACTTGCAATGCGCCGAGGTGCTTTGAAAGAGCAACGGAATTAGTGTTAGCAAACTAGTCCAATTCATGTTTGCTTATGGTACAACTACCACTCAAATGAGGCAAGTTTATCGATCGCAGGTTGTTGATATTTTGCTAGGTGCTACCTTCCAAGGTTATATTTCCGTCCTGCGCTTCCAATGTTGTGCGGTTCCGTTGCTATGTGACCTAAAATACACAGCCTTGCGACCCATGCATCATGTAATAACTATTGATTAATGACACAACAGGGTGGCGGATCCTGATACCTCAAGTCCAAAACTTGCATTGTGATCCTGCCTTAGCATAATTGGGGAATTGTTCGTATTGACTGGAGGTGGAAGCGTGTAACCCATAACGATAGGCAGCATAGGCGCCGTCGATTGCATGTCGGAAAAGTCGAATTCAGCGATGCGCCCGAAGTTCCGACTCTCCGCGCTACTGGATTGTAGGGTTTAATAATGCCTTTGCATTGGGTTAGATGTGTGACTCTTGAGGCAAATTTTACTTCAGTGGTAACTAAATTTTTGCACATGGTGAGCTGTCATTAAGATCGATCTCCGGTACAAAGATTTCAAACTTAAAATGTTCTAGTAACCAAAAGCAATGTCCCACTTACAATTCTGGTTTCTCGCGCGACTTTGCAGACGGTATTGCGAGTACCAAATCTAGAGTCAGGCCCCCTACTCCGCAATATAATTTTCCTAAAGTGGCTGTGTTCGGCTCATGCAATACATTGGCTGACTCATGGTTCCTTGGGTGCGTCTTTGTTGGAATGTCTGCAGTGCCGCAAGGCTACAGCACATGATAGATTAAACGCCACGTTGGTACCAATCATAGAGACTCTTTTAATTATACGACAACCCTAATGCGTGCTTCCAACTGCTTTCTGATTCGGAAACAACGAGGAGTCCTAAGGGAAAGAAGCCGCCAGTGTGGATCCGGGCTATGCTACAGGCTGACTGTAAAACATATATACTATTCTGCACGCGAATCAATCGTTGGTTGATTATTTGGACCTTTTTGGTTGCGATAGCGGAGTGGTGCGGAGCCACGTCCTTACACACTACCGATTTTCGATGTCTTATGCTAGTAGCATCCTCGAATCTATTTGTTTGCAGTTACGGAGCTCTCAAAGCTCTAGTCACCTGACACTACTTTCACCTGCCGCTGCTTAGTTACGTCACCTGCTGCTGTCTAAGCTAGTGGTAGGCTTAGGTCACATGACAGGTTCACCTAGTACTATATAAACCTGTAGTTGCCCTCCTTTCGCAATCAATCCAGTTCCTCATACCTCTAGTACCCCTCCTAGCTTCACATTATTACTTGTTTCAATGAAATAGGATCTACACTAACGACCTTCTGTGACATGTGTTGTAATCCAGATGAAACCCCCTACTCCAAGGATAGTATGGCAGATTGGCACGTCGTGTTCGATCTGGAAGATGTCCTGCATACGACGCTTGATATAGACCGTATGAATCAAGCCACGCGTTCTTCTACAGGCGCATCTAGAGCAAACTAGAGTGAAGACCACAACAAGGGTTGTCCTTCAGAACCAATGCTAATCGCCAGAAGACACGCAAATGGGTCGAGGCAATATCCATGGCATATGATGACAATTGGCATGGATATACTGAATATTATGAGTACAAAATCAGCTAGGAAACGCTCCCACCATCAGTAACTTCTTCCCCAGGGTTACAAAAGTACGCTGAATCTAGTGATACCCAGGACTCCGCTCTTGTTCTTAGGAATCATGACGATGAGGCCAACTAGACTAGTCAACAGGACAACGTTCATCCGGCTACCGACTTCAACGCAACAAGAAACGGCAAGGTGCCATGGAAATTCCTAGTTCATTACCCTTTCTCCATATCTCTAGTATCATAGAGGGGGCTGGCTAGCTCAACTTGAGGGCCACAAGCGCGTCTTGCCTCGAATGACCCCGCCCTGAGCTCTACTACAGCTGCTAGCAGCCCACATTAATTGTCGTAGATAGCCTCTATAAGAGTGATATCTCCCGTAGGTCTCTCATGCTGGAATAGTGAGGATTCATTAATATATGTCGCATGGTTTCTGGATCCATTCGCCGTAGCCACCTTCGATGGCAAGAAAACGCGGAAGATGTGCGTGATAACGAAGACGCTCAACCAATGTCCCACTTACACAGGAACAGCACGTCCAGAAGAAAGCTACTAATAGCTGGATAGGCGGGTGACCGAGGACAGCGTACTGGAGGTTCAAGTTTTGAACCAAGGACACTAGGGAATGGCAAATTAAGCATTTGTTGGGGATTAGCGCTGTCATGGATAAGCGAGAATTGCATACTGAGCGCATGGGATTCTTTCAAGGTTCTAATACAGCCCAGGAACCCGCTTAGAGAGGTGAGAAACGGAGCCAGAAATGTGTTACGGTCTGTTTACTTTCTGTTCTTCCAAAAGCTCTCCAGTAACGTTAAATTTTAAGAAGCGGGAAAATGAGTTGATGGGAAGCAGGGATGTCTGTCCATCCTTCCAAATCGAGGCTGGTCATGAATGTGGCTTGACACATGGCGCGTGCGCACCATGACGTACATCTCTTATTATCTTGATCGGCCTAACTATTGGCAAACAAAAGCATCATGGAATTTTTCCCCTCCTAAAAGGAATCCTATTCACCTACAACTAATTCATCATGGCAAATACTGGCATTGTCTACAAGGGCCTTCTCCCAATCCCTCACCAAACCGGCCTGGAGAAGAAAGAAACGACTACAACTGTTAGAGACACACCCACCGTGAGCCATGCTTTGGCAATGAAGAATCCAGAACAGAAAGGTGCTGCTCAGGTTGAGCATGATGAAGAGGTTGTGAATCTGGGGTGGAACGAGCCTGATAACGCAGTTGCGAGTCCACTTGTTGGCGGTCTCGCGAATGACGATCTTTGGATACTTGTCCGACGTTTCAACAAAGAAAGGCTGTATTCCAAGGAGTTTATATCACTAGACTGACATGATTTGCAGCAAATGTACCATGTCAAGGAAATTCCAAACCCACCTCCAGGCGGCCTGGACCTGAACATCGCTGATGAAGAGGAGTTTTCTCCAGACAAGTTAAGAAGCAACATTGAGCGCTTGTACATGACGATCGTAAGTGTCTTCGACGCGTGGAATCGAAATAAGACTGACTCTTTGCTCAGGGTATTGGATTGATAGGTTTTGGCAAGCAGATTGTGAGACTTCGATCCTGGCGAGAAATGAGGCGGACAGCTACGTTCTGCACTGCCTACTTTATCGCCTGGATATTTGATCTTCTCATGCCGCTCTTCGCAGTCATGGTGATCACGCTCATTGCATACCAGCCATCTCGCGCGATCATATTTCCTCCTACCCCCATTGCGCTAGTCGACGGTAAGACCGGCGGCGTCCAGAAACCAAAAGCTGGTGTGCTCGGAAGTCACAACAGCGCCACAGGAGCACCGGAGAACCACAAGGGAGAAGCCGTTGAAGCAGAAGCCAGCAACTTCGTCAACGAGATTGCTTCTGTGGCACTAGCAAGTGCAACTGGCAAGCATCCTCAAGGAGAACCCCCCTCTGAAGATGGATCCCCCGCAGACTCCTTCCCTGATCCGACGGCCATTGCTATCGGTGCGGCTGATGCAAAGAAAAAGGCCACAGGGGGAACCCCAGCGAAGGAGCACGACAAGACGAAGGTACCAATGGAGACAGCCATGTGGACAAAGATGCGACCGATAATGCATAGCTTGGCCGAAGTTGTTGATACCTGGGAACGGTTTGCTAAGTAAGTAACGACTATCATTCCAGGATTGCCTTGCTGAATTGTTGCAGTGCCCTTGATCCTACATCACCTTTCCCTAGAGAACTTTATCGACTTCGAATCGCGGCTCTCGTGGTACCTGTGCTGTTGGCCTCTATCTTTGTTACCTCTTACATGTTCATGAAGGGTGTGACCTTTGGCGTTGGCTTTGGTTTATTCGGCGACCCAATAATCTCTCGCGGCCTCGAACTTCTGAATAATAAATTCCCCAACTGGCAAAAGATCCTTGAGCTACGGAAGTGAGTCAATTGGTCATCCTTGTTTAGTTGAAATTCCTGACATCCTTCCAGCACTGTTTTCAAAGGCGTTCCAACAAATGCTCAACTCACTTTGACACTTCTCCGGATCAGCGAAGCTAACAAAGCTCCTCTTCCCCCACCACCTAATATCCACGCTCCTCCACCCGATGAGCCCGCCGATATTAGTGAACAAGAGCTTCGAGCTACAGGTGAAGATTACCCATTCAATGCTACACAAGCGGAACTTGACGAGGCTATGGCTTGCGATCCGACTGTCGCCCACGAGACTGTAGGCGAAGGCATCGATGCCTCGAAGAACGTTAAGCACGGCAAGAAGGGAAGTAAAATTCTCGGCTTCTTCAAGGGCACCGTTAAAGGTGGTGTCGAGACAGTGATCAGTACAGATAAACTGAAAGCTAAAGTCGGAAGCGAGCATGCGAAGAACAGACTCGGTGTCGTGCCAAAGCGTAATGAGGATCTTACATCCGGCCCTGTTGAATTCAAAGCTCGCTTTCATGGTAAGAAAGGTCATGTTTACATTACCGCCAAGGCAACTATTCCATGTGTTGCTTTCTCAACGGATAACACCGTCGAGAAGATGGGTTCTCTGGAAAGAGAAGATCTGCACCCTATTTGGACCATCCCAGTTGGCGATATCATTGAGATGAGAAAGGTCGGCGGATATGGTTGGAGGGCGAAATTGGTAGTTGGATGGGCGATGGGTAGGGAGGTCGCTGATGGTTTGGAGATTGTGCAAAGAAGCGGCGCAAAGACCAAGGTCACTGCCATGCCGCTGAGAGATGAGTTGTTTAACCGACTGATTGCGATGGGTGATCAGAAGTGGGAGTGCTGGTAGTTAGATATTTGATTCAGAATTCGTGGCACAGAACGGAAGTACATTGTGTCTTTGGAGTTAGGTTGAAGAAATGCTAATACTTTTCCTGGTCTTGTAACAAAATGAAATACTTGTTACGTAAGCCTGATGGTGATGCAGTGGAAGCTCTAGGGCAGCCACGTTAAGTTAAGAGGTACATGCACTAGTAGATACTTACTTGGCTTGGTTATATGCTGTGGCAGAGAAGTAATCGATTATGTAGTACTCTAGCTGATAATCTTATTTGCTTACTTTTGCAAGCTAAGTTTGCAGTATGGGCGCGAGTAAAGGTCATCCAAAGACACCATAGATCGTTTTCACGTTGTCTTAGAAACGCCACACACCGATGCCTCCTCATCTGCCTCCCTCCATCTGCATAACCTTCCCATCTATTCTCCCTCTCTCTTCTTCTCTCCCCTCTCCCTCTGCCGAGAATTCGACTCTAGGACGGTTGATTGCTTCAATTAGTTCCTCGCTGCGCTTTGGATCTTTTATGCTCCAACAGATCTGCATCAAGACTATCTTCTATACAGTAACTTGGGGGGCTGCCCAATCAAACCAATGCTTGGCTTCTTTTGCTTGCATATATACCTCATGGTCCCTCGGCCCCACCGCAAAGCAATATATCACTTCTCTCTATGCTTTCAATCTATCAGGGCTGTTTCATAAATCTCGCCGCAGCTTGCACTCATTATAGTGAGAAAGACTTATTTTCGGTGCGGGACCCTCGGTGGTATCTTAGCCACTCACTCATTCAAGATGACTTTGATGGGGAATAGGCACGTGTCCTCTTCGCGCGTTGATGTTCGTCGGTCGGATTTTACCGCTCTACACGCATGGACGGATCACGCAAGAACGCATGATGCCAACAAGACTATTAGGTTTAGGTCTTATTTATAGTGTGGGCGTCGCAGCCTAGAAAAAAATGAGTTCAAAAATGCCAAAGCCCCAGACCCGTTTCTCTGTTCACGCTGATTAGAGCCGGGTAAGTTGTTGAGTGGCAGGTTTACCGTAGTCGTGGACCTAAAAACATCACCACCAGCGAAATCTAATTAAGAAGGTAATCACCGTCTATGGTATGAAATTCGATTGAAACATACTAATACACTCTTGACTTTCAATTTTGATGGGCTGATTGCCATATCTGGCATAATCTCGCGAATCCGGGTTCGCACTGGCGTGGCTGGTATTGGGAGCCTTACCCTTACGTCCACCATAAGCTCTGTTGAAGGAAAAAATTGGATTCCGAAACAATCACTGAACTAGGTTAGTAGCCGCCCTGGTAAGGGCTCTTAATCGAGGTGATATCCGTTGAGAACGAAGGCCCTAGGAGCTTTTTAATTCACTCTCCCCATTGCGCAAATCGAGTTCTATGAGTCCGGTTACTTCATGCTAAAGTAACCTATTTCTTCAAAAGTAGGAGCTTCAAACTCCGTGTTTGTTGCGTGCCGCTCAAGTCTCGCGCGGAGCCTGGATTGCTCTTCCTCTTTGCTCTAGTGAATCCAATGAAGAGTACCACCTATCGGGCTACCCCTTATTCCATCAGCCAAATCTCCGGGAGCATATGACCGAATAAGTTACATCGAATAAACACAGATAAAAGTCTCGGCGTCAGAGGTAGTTCTTCCACTTCAATATAAGGAATTATGAATGATTTGTAACAGCAGTCAAGGTAACAGCACACATCAGCGTAACCAATGGGAAGTAATACGATTCGACTGCGAGTTTTCAACCGCCCTACGACTCGGTTTGTTAGTACGATTATACGATTACTAGAGGAGCAGAGGGGACTACGAGTCGTAGTCGGTACGAACTAATTCACCGTACTTACAATACGATTGCCAAAAATCAGTTTGTAGTACGATTAGATAGGGCGGATTTTATGTGATTGACTAACTCACTAAGCTCACTAGCAACTAGCCTATGATAAAGCTAATTCTTTTGCAGCTGTAGCGCTTAAATTGTTGCTCTACTAAGGAGATTCCTCTTAAAAGTAACAGTCCTTCTGCCTCTAGAGAAAGCTCTCTTGCAGTCGCAACTAGTAGCTGGTATGGAGAAGAAATCAAGGGCTATCTTGAAAACGGTAGGGTACCGTGAACGACTAGGTGATTCCTCACTGTTTTTTTCATACAATTATACTAAGAGGCAATACAGAAAACTCTGCTAGTTGCACTGCCTATAGCCCTTGCGTGTCTTGCATGACAGCGTTTCCAACAGGAAGTAGTACGATTAATACTTTTGCTCCACCTACAATCACGTGAGGCAAACAAACGTAACTACATTTTTAACTATTACAATTTAATTAATAAGGCTTAAAAGTAAGTAGTATATAATTAAGGTAGAATTTTTTAAGGTTGCATTCTCTAACGCGCGTAAGGGCCAGGGGAGCGTGTTTGTGCCACTATTTACATGTTAGTGTAGCCTTAGAGCTTGCCCTGTACTACAACAACCTTTCAGACAACCTTATCATAGCAAAAGATAACAGTCCCTTGTATAGGGAACCTCTAGATTAGTAGCTCTAGGTTAGTTAGCGCAACTATCCTGTACTCTTTAAGATAGCACTTAATTTCCACAAGCTGCAACTGCAAGAGAGCCTTTAGTAAAAGGAAAAGAATAGTTACTATCTTTTAGGCTCTATAATTAAAGCTTTGCAACTCTAGAAGAACTAGCTACATTATAAGGTTATTTTTAGTAAATTAAATAACCTTACATGCTATATTAAGAGTAAGGGAGACCCTACTACTCTAAAAGCTTTAACAGTTACGTTATAACTTTTAGTAAAAAGTTAAGAAGTACAAGCAGCTTTAATTAAACTGTAACTTAATTATATTAACCCCTGCTGTTAGGTGAAGCAAACAAAAGTATATAATAAGTGAGACGTAACTTGTCTAGAAAGCCTAAGTCGAATCGTACTACTTCCTGATGGAAACGCTGTTGCATGAGCTGAGAAGGGGTCATATGGGAAGCGAGTCGACAAGGTGGTGAGATCTAAACAAGGTGGATTGAACGAGTGTATTGTATGGTCTGAGGAGCTTGATAGAGCCCTGAGCTGACTATATACTGTACGAGAAAGGAGCTATGCCTAATGAGTGAATAGTGCAGTACATGGGTATGATATCGCGTGAGACTCGTGCGACAGCGTGCTCTGTACGACGACGACCTCACCTCAGGCCTCACCTCAAACCTTACCACCAAAAGAGTCTATACAAGTCGTAATACGATATACTTTTCAGGCTTAAGTACGATTCGATACGACTCAGAGACTCACTACGACTCTACGATGCACGTGATCGTAACGTATCGTATTCTACGAATCGTCACGCTGGCACGAGGTTCTCAGTGCTATTGATTCACACACTCATCGTTATCATCCCTCAAAGGGTTCAGCGGCTCTCACGCTTATCCAAGAGCCGTTTAGATTCTGCAACAAAAATAGGTGGGCACGCTGTAAATGGTTGTTGTGTGTATTGTATTTGTGATCAAGCTAAGATAACCTAGCTCTTCCGCAGATGAGTAAGTATAGTAGTAACGTATTCTTACAGTTGTAGTGGCTGTTACCACTAGCTATCCGTAGTGCCCAGGTTTAGTTCCCATGGGATATACCTTATACTAAAAGTGGCTATCTATTCTTTCTACGGCGTCCTTACAGAATTTTCTCCTTTCTCTACTACAGGCGCACTACGCCAATTCCTAAAGCTATACCACTGAAGATTCTAGACCAGGTTGAAGAATGTAGGCCAGGGTCTCAAAAGATTTCCCGGGCTGAATCCACTCTTAGGTAACCCCGGGAGACGTTCATAGAGCCGTATAGGGAAAATGAGGCTAGTAGTATTACTGCTGAAGATGTAGTAGCCTAGCATGTTGAGCTCCTCCGGCGCGCCTAAGAGATACGAAAATCTACTGAAAGCGGCGTATGTATATAGCTACATGCTGTTGATCCACCCCATCTGAATATAAAGACCTACAAGGTCGAATGGATGAATTGTACGTTTAACGACAGAAAAGAATCGCCATTAGCTCCAATACCCGACCCTTACCAACCTAGCCCGATTTTGTCTTGGGCCTGCCTGGGAGCTCTGAAAGCCCTACTATAAGTTAGTATTTATATTGCTGGTATCAGAGTATCTCGAAACATACATCCTAGAGTTTCCTCACCAACAAAGTCCTTGACTGTGCACTGGTTGGCGGCAGTCATAGCCTGCTTTTTAATAGCACCGCAGCCATCGTAGAAACACTCGGACTTGTCCATAGCGCGCTGGAGCGCATCGCCTTTCCAGCCGAACATATAATCGGCATGGGTCCCATACCCGCTAGTACCCTCAAAGCTCCATACAAAAGGATTAGGCGCTCCTGAAGGCCACATGCTGTTGAACTGAGTTGTATCCCAGACGGTCTCGTAGGTCACTTGCGGTACACGAACAGGGTGAGACGACGGGCATGCAGGGGCGTTCGTGAATCCATCTGACTTGATCGTGTTGTACATGTGAGACTGGTGATCTGGGCTATCAAGATTCTTGCCATCCCAGCATCTACGCTCGGTTAGTATAAGCTTACATCTCGGGGTGAACTGGTTACTGACGCAGGGAAGTGGTGGGTAGTAAAGATACCGCCTGAGCATGGCTTGGTGGGGAAGTCGGGCATCTCTGCACCTCTGTTTTGCCCTTGTAGGCATTGGTAACGTAGGCCGACGTGCGGACGTGAGCCCTCAGTTGGGCTGCCCACCGTCATACGGAAACCCTACAGAGTATTAGAATCTCGAACGGGCTAAAACATTTCGGTTGACATTACTGGTTGGAAAGATTTAATAGGTTGCTGCTTCAGGTTATCCTTGGATAAGTCGAATTGGGTATAGTAGACAGTAAGTCCACCTGTGACACCATTCGAATTTCCTAATAGGGGCTGAACAGGAACAACGGGTACACGATGATAGGAACCATTGGTGGGATGTTTAAAGTATAAGACGGCGGTCCAGTAATTAGAAAAGTCCTCTGACATTTGGCAAGTAGTGCAGGTAGCTCTCTCGCTGACATCCCCCGTCATGGTGGCATTGAAGGCGTTTCCACCAACGATGTGGTGAACGTGGGCGGACGGGTTCGAGCCTGGCTGGACCGCGGGGTCAAGGCGCTGAATGGTCAATGTAGAGCATGGAAAGCGAAGGCCGGCCTGAACATGCGCGATGAGCGCTAGCGCTACAGAGAGCGACTTCATCTCGGTGGTGGGACTAGTCTCGACAGTATTAGCAGTAGGAAGCTTCAGGTTTGCAGAAGTGGGAGAGGAGGGAAGCGCAATCCCGTTTCCACTCGGCTCTTATATATTTGGATCTGCCTTGAACTCCCTTTATCGGCATGTATACAAGAAAAGTCTATTCTCTCCAAACAATACCTGGTTGCGAAGCAGCAAAGAGTGGATAAAGAAAGAGAAACAAGATGGCCTAGGTCTGCTGCGAATCAGCTCCTTTCTGCATTACCAGGATTATTATCCGGTGATATGGCGATTTAATTGCTTGGACCAACCTTCTTGACTGCCCTATATTTCCCTTATGTGTGGCACTTACCCCAGCTGTTATTGGGTTGTCGGCAAATATATTTCTTATGTATTCTTCATGATCCCTACTTGTTCATTGGCTCGCACAAGTACCGTGAGCCCCTAAAGTGCCTTACGTCACCGTGAATTTCTAGAAAGTCTGCGAGAAAGATGTTACGAACAACCAATAAAGGGAGGAACCATGGAATAACCAAGGCGAGGGTAGGGCACCGAAGCCTGACGGAAAGTAATCATGGGAAGCGAGACGCGGGGGCTAAGGGTAGCTGTAACGTGACATCCTCCCAACCAAGGAATCTTAGTAATTGAAATCAAGAAAAATAGTCTTATCCCTGCTATAATAGTAAGTGTAAGCTCTAAAATAACAATAAAGAAGTAGAATGATATAGACTAGAGATTTTTCAATTTAAGTCTTAGATTCTAATTCTTCAAAGTTAGCTTATGAAAAAGAAGTTAATCTTTGACCTCGAGTAATGCTGCTCACCGCTTTACTTTTATTAAAGTAAATCGACTTATAGAACTAACAATTATTATGGAGTTCCTTTTTTACGCCAATAAAGCCTACTTTAGTGAATTTTCTAATACCCTCCTTCTTTTCTAAAAATCTAATAGCATTTTAGCTGCGAATTTGATGAACAATATCACTCTTCTCTGACACTAATTTATTATAAAACTTCGCTAAATGAGTGCTCACCAGCTTGACCTAACTAGCCAGGCTCTTTTCTCCATCCTCGTTCCTCCTTTCAATCGAATTCGTTGCCCACGACCGTTAGCCGACAAATGTTTTCTCCTCAATGAGCCAGAATGCCAAGTGATAAGCAGAAAATCTAATCTCTCCTTGTTGGCCGTAGATAGCCGTCATGTCTAAAATAGTATCGTTCCCATACCACTTCGCGTATGTTGGAATAGCTCCACTTCTGTTATCAGCACTGCTCTCATTGCTGCCATGGCCATCACCACCACCAACATCATCTTCTCCGAACTCTGACTCTCAGCAGCGCGACCTATCGTCCGACAGCTCATTTCGTCTGAGTCCGATTGTAAGGTAAGGTGTTCTTGGTCTTGAGTGCGGGGAATGGAAATGGATTGACAGGGAGTGTCGCGCAGGCCTTGGGATTTAATATAAAAAAATCCAGGCCACGCGTTCCCTTCTAGACCAAGATAAGGGGAACCCTGTGATGTAGGTGCAGCCCTTAGTTACCGCATTCGTGGAGTGAAACTGTTGGGCAGGTGACTAAAGGGGTGCTTCGACAGCTGCCAATCGCACTAGCGTTCACTTGGAGTATCGTCGGGCCGTTAGCCCGAGCTCCCTCTAGAGAGCTAGCATCTGCCTCGCTAAGCTGCTCGATATCCAGACGAGTAAGGTTGAATGATTCATATCACAATTCCTCTATAATCCTGTGGTTGGGTGCATTACGATATTGGACAGTGAGATGAAAACAGAAAAATTTCATTATTAGCCCGACTGTACCAAAACGAGACTCCCTAAACCCAATCAAAATGCTTCTCCGCGTCCAGCTTTCTCTGTTTCCGCCTGGTTCAAGCACATTATACGAAATACAAGCGCCACTAGAACAAAATCCTATCCAATAACCGCAAGGCCAGAGGATATATCAGTCCAGGAAAGAACCCTACTCGTTGTCGGATGTAAACATCATACCCCTCCCCTTAGTAACCTCATGGAAGTTCTGCTTGCAGAGTTGGGACCCACCATGCGCTTGACAAGATAGTTAAGGTATCCAAATGTTTCGTGAAAGAGTCCGAAGGGCAGCTAGAGATCTTCTGCCTCGACGGTGTCTATGGGAGAGCGGATGATGAGGTTCACCCTCTCACTTTCAAGGCGCCTCGTCCGACAGGCGAGGGCTTCTCTACTTTCGTAGAACTTAGGATCGATGTTTGCGTAGATGAAGGCCTCTAAGGATACTTCATAGGCAAGTCCAAACTACTGGGTGTTATAGTAAAAGCAGTAGAGTTTGCACTCGGGAACGACAACGAAAGATAACGCGAAATTTATTGCTCATGCTTGTGCCTTCAATGAATGTGCCTTAGGGTCTGAAATGCTGGAATGCCTTCGCGTGACGATACCACCTTCTCAAGGCAAACTAGGAGATATGATAGAGGCATGCAGTTTACATAGGATGGTCACTTTCCTCAAGACGATTTGCATACGGTACGGATCACCGAGCGACCGAGGAGTGGAAGAAAAGTGATAGGCCCGTGCAAGAAGGGCTGATGGTGCTAATAATGCCTGATTTGTAGCTGCTAGTAGACGAGAGAGAAGCAAGGTGGGCCTTGTAAACGTAGTGCGGGGTATAGTGAATTGACAGCTCCAATGCAGAATCTCTAGGCGTTAGAGATAAGGAGTTGAGGAGTGCGGTGAGGATCAAACTGGCAGATCCGCGATCATATATTGCTATGTGCTTATTACCCTCATAATTTATTAAGGCATGCGCGAATGGAAGGGCGCATAGCTATAAGTTTAAACCCCCAAACAGATGCGAACCCTGAGAAGGAGCAGGTAGAACAACCGTGTCTTTTACAGAATGTCTAAGCTCGCCCATGGTTGATTGGATCGAGCCCAGCTTTACTCAACAGCAGTAGGAAATTTTGGGCGGGAGATAACTTCGATTCTTCAGCTAAGTCCACTCAGAGTACAAAATAGACATTAAATGTGATCGCCGTTACTACCCTTGGATAGCATGCCTGCAACCTTTCTGGTAGCAATCCGGCATCCGCATTTTTCTGATCGCAATGAGCCATAGCACTGCCTGAAAGGTGCCGTTCGCAACCCGAGACTCTTTAACTGAAAGAAATGTTGCGATACAGACTCGATATGCTTTTGGGTAGGTGATCCTGGGACTGCCATCGCGGAGAACATTGCAAATGTCTCGACCAGTATGCCTACCAAGTGTGACCGAGTAAGAGTAATCACGCCACAATGTGGATCTAACGTCCGTTCTGCGGTGTTGGAGAGAGGGCCATAACAACACCCTATAGCAAGGGGTAGCCTGCATCTAACGAACAGCGAAGTCCGTTTACGGGTATATGGCGGAAGCTATGATGTACGAGAGACCGGGATGGAAGAGAGCTCGAAGCTTCTCTTTGATTTCCTATACCTGCCCTACTACTAAGCCTCCGGCACAGTACTCGCAGCGCTAGGGAACTAACATTAAAGTTAATCCAATAATCCTAACTCTGGCTAGACTAACGTCTGCCCGGTGAGCCAGCGATTGATAGGGCCCGACAATTTAGTTCAGACCATACACCAGTCTGAAAAACGCTATCATCAAGCACTATCCATTCCATTCTATGGAATTAAAATCTTTTGCTTCTACGCAAGCCTTTCTGGCTGCGTTCCAGTCAAAGTTAATGATGGGCTGCCTCAACAATGCTTCTGGATCTGCTAGATATTGCCCTACAAACAATGTCTTCGCTCGTAGCTTTGGAGTCTCGGTTTGACATTGGGCTTGATTGGGATCACATTGACATGCGCTGCAAACCCACCTTTGTATGCAGCAATAGTAATCAGAAGCGGGGTTCTTGAGTAATGATAATAATTGTTGTGCACTGAGTCGTTCTGAGGGTTCGGGATCCATCATGAAGAAGGCAAGATCCGCAATAAGAGACCCCATTCGTGGAAGAGTACATTGGTGATTGGCCATTTTATCCGTGGTCTTGCCGGTGTGTTGCAATTGTCCATCGGAAGATTGTGAGAGGTTTGAGGTGAGCATTGTCTGTTCAGAAACCGCACACTTAGAAAATTCCGAGTGAAGCTCCACTGCTAAACTAGTGGACCAAAGGTAAAATATCCAATGGGCAATAGACATAGAAGAGACCGAATATGCAGTTCCCTGACCAGATAAATCAGGGCGTTCGTGGATGAGGCGTGTTCTCGCACCCGCCGAGCAAATGGAAACCGTGGCAAGTTCTAAGAATACACATCCCAAGGAGAAGATATCTGCGGAGCGACCGCGTCTTGCAGAATCCTGAACAACTTCAGGAGCGCAATATCTGACGGTATGTGCACCAATGGAGCCATCAGTCCCAGAAGAGCCTTCCTCTCCCATGTCTTCTGCAAGCCCGAAATCTGTGAGGAGCACCGATCCGTTCTTGATTAGAATATTTGACGGCTTGATATCTTTGTGTCGGATCATTAACTGATGCACATAATTGATAGCCTGTATGAGGCATCCACACCAGCGAGATATGGGCTGTAGTAAGGTAACCCTACAAGGACCGGTGGTCCCGTCGATCTCGTCGAGCCAAGCTGAAAGGTCCGTTTCGGCAATGGGAAGCATGATGATGCCGAAATGTTGTCGCCACTGGTAGGTTTCAAAGACCGTGACGATGTGCCAGTGACGGAGCCGATGCATAATCCTAGCTTCTTCTTTGATCTTCTCGATTTGTTGTTCTCGCTTTGGAAAAACCTTCGGTAGTCGGAATAGCTTGCGTGCGTAAATGGCTCGATTCTGCAAGCGAGCCTCGACTTGATCTACAAAACCATATGAACCCCTTCCTAGAAGGGCAGTGGAGGCGAAAGGGTCTTCCATTTCGATATTGTAATCGTGGTGGATAAGCGTAAAAGACGAGGGGGGGAGGCTAGTATGCTTGTGGGAATACCCCAAGTCATCATGAAGTTCATCGTAAAAAGCCACATGAATTCTTCGGCGACCTGGCCAAAATCTTGACCTTTACGTTGGATTCAACTGTGTGTATCTTCATGAAATTGATCCTTGTGAGCGGGTCTAATTTGTCATGGCTTGATTGTGGCTGAACTTTGATCGGCTCTAACATACCGGACCCCGGCCCCATAGCCATCTCGTATGACAATGGCTTCGGCGGATGCATTCCTGTGAAAGCGATAGAGTGGTGATGGAGGGCCTTGTTCGAGGTCACTCCCCGACGATGGTAAGTTTGAAGTGGCCTCCTTCCCATCAGTATCAGCCAAGGCAAAAGTGAGGGCGTACCTACAGGCACGTACAGCAATTGTATCCTTCTCGAATTACGATAAACCAACGAATTTTGACAAATACCGGCTCATGCAGAAATACGGGGCCGTTCACGGAAGTTGTCGACGAGGATACGTCACCAGCGACTTCTGGCCATAAGACTTTGAACACCTTTCCCACCTTGAAGAATGTGTTCGTTCTTACTCTGAAACTTGGTTCGAGTGCTTCGCAGTGTCCCGAACTACCATTAATCTTTCTAGAAGGGGAATTCGTAGAATACCCGTTGCTCTCGGGTAATTGCCATAGTTTAGGTTGGTTAGTTGGCTGTGGATATAATTTTGCGCTCGGGGATTTCACATTCTCATTGCTTGTGGAGCTGTTCGCAAAATTGTCTGGTTCAGCACTTAGTAAGGATTCGACAGGAACCATATGGGGACGTTCAAAGTAACAAGGACGCTGCAAACCTTGAAGTGTATAGTTGTACGGCCCGTAAGACCTGTTTTCATATGGAAAACTCCAGGATGATGTGCTTTGATACTGCACGTTCTCCTGTGGTGGCAGTGTGTCCAACCGTTAGTACACCTAATAGTACAGTACTGCAGTACACTAATTTTGGTCACGTACGTACGTACAGGGCATCTACTTAGTATACTGTACTATACATAAGGCTGCTGTACTAACTATTTACAGTAGTTATATAAAATTTTTAGTAGTTTTAGGCAGTTAAAGGCAGGTTACTAAAAGCTAGAGGGCTTATGTTTAGAGATTAATGCAGAGAATGCTGTTAGTGCGTGTTTTATTAGTAATTTTTTAATAAATTTAGTAACTATGCTATCTACTTTATTTTTTTACTTATTATAATGTTTTAATTTTTATTTTAATTAATAACATCGTTATCTTAGCGTGTTACTACCTTATAGGCCCTATTTTTATAGGCTTTATCCTTATAAGCTTTATCCTTACATGCCTTATCTAGCTGTTCTGCCACTTAGATATATTATGCTGCCTTATCCTAACACTTAGAGAAGGCCTGCATAGCCTTACCTAGCCTATCTAGGCTGTCCTTGCGTAAAGCAACTTCTTTAAAGCATATGTAAGATACCTAGGCTAAGAAGCACCTAAATAATGCCTACTATAATATTAAAATTACTTTTAAGATTAACGTACTTTACAGGCAAGTTGCTTACACACCTAAGTTGCTTACTTTTGCTAAGACTCTACTAAACTACCCTTCCTACACTAATGCATTCCCTACAACACTACTTAGACGCGCTAAAAGAACATTAGATACAGCTTACACTTTAAGCTTTTAAACAAGACATAAAACTCTTAAATAAATATGCTATAGCTATATATAAAGTTTTATAAAAAATAATAAATAACTATAGCGCTAGATAACTTTTATAAGTTAATTTTATAGCTAAATTATAAAGGCTAAGTAATAAAAAAAGTAGGTAATTATTAAGACTATACTTAAGCTATATGTGTAAGAAATTTCTCCTTAGATAGCATTTATAGCTAATATAGCTAATTCTTTGCGCGCTAAGCATAATCTAGGCTATGTTTACATAAACTAGCCTAGTATTTTTATAAAGTGTTATTTAAAGCTTAAAGTAAAGTTTTAAGCATAAGTATAGTTAAGAGATACCTAGCTAATTATAAACCTTATTTTACTAAAGTTATACATGTTATTATCCTAGATGCTATACTTAGCTTTAATATTCTCTATAAGGCTAAACCTGCTTTAAATTACCTTAGGACTTTTATAAAGAGCTCTTTTATAGTTATACTTACGCTTAAATGTTACTTTAAGCTTTAAATAACGCTTTACAAACATACTAGGCTAGTTTATGCAAACATAGCCTAGATTATGCTTAGCGCGCAAAGAATTAGCTATATTAGCTATAAATGCTATCTAAAGGGAAATTTCTTATATATATAGCTTAAGTATAGTCTTAATAATTACCTGCTTTTTTTTATTACCTAGCTTTTATAATTTAGCTATAGAATTAGCTTATAAAAGTTGTCTAGTGCTATAGTTATTTATTATCTTTTATAAGACTTTGCATATAGCTTGTCACGATTGTGCACGAGTAAGGTTATAGAGCTTCACAGAGGTCTAGTTTAATTACTATGTAAGGTATTATAGTAGGTACAAGACGTTGTGTGAGGAACAAGAAGGTTTAAAAAAAAATTAGTAATTAAATACTTAGCTTAAAAGTCTAAGCGCTTTAAGTATAAATTAAGCCTATTTTAAGTTTAGTTAGTGTTAAAGTAGTTTATACTTAAGTTTATGTCTATGTTATGTTGTGTTTATGTTAGACGTGCACTAATAATACTCTAGTACACGTCTAATACAGTTATGTCTAGGATCTAGGAAGGATACTGTGACAGTACTCCCCTCTTATTAAAAAGGGAATCCTTTACATTAGTAGTTCTAGCATTAGGTTGTCTTTATTAGAGTATAAGTTTAGTTTAGATAGGTATTAGGCGTAAAATTAGGTTACTATAGAGTTTTTTTTATAGAGCTTTTACAGGTTCCTATAACAGTTTGTTATATCTAGTCTATTTTATAAGGTATTTATAAATACATTTTTTTTTATTAAACTAGATCTATTTAACATCTTCTATAACATATTTTAGTTTGTTATTTATAATAACAGGTTTAAGTAGCAGGTTTAGCTATTTAAGTAAATAGTTAGATTTAAAAGCTGCTTAGCACAGCAATAATATGTAGAACACAAGGTGTATCTTTATGCTATTAGGTAGGATTAATTAGTAAGCGTATAATAAGACTATATAGGCTACTATAAAAGGGCTAAGGTTTTTCTAATTAAGTTTCTTTAATTATTAGTTTATTTAGATATTTCTAGCATCTAGCTAGACTTTCTTACTAGCTGCATACGTAGGGGCAGAAGTTTAGAATTAGTTTATATACTCTTATTAAAAAGCTTAAGCCTATGTAAGCTTTTTATAAATATATTTAGATATATTTTAAATTTTATTAATAAGTCTATTTACATCTGTTACTTATATAGATTAATAAGTTAGTTAGGAGGTATTTAAAAGTAGTTTAAATTTTATTTAAAGGTAGTATCTATAGTTTACTAAAAATAAAAATACTTATATTAATTTAGATGTTATGTTATTAGCTTTAAACTATGCTATAGCTAACTATTTTACCTAGTTATCTTACTAGTAGTTTATGTACACTTATAAAACTTATTTTATTATAGCATTTACATTCTTAGTTTAGCTGTTAGTGTCAGATTTGCGCACCTACTGTCAAGACAGGAGGAACGCTTGACGAAAGCTGCTACATAGTACGAGCAATAAGCTCGAACAGTATGTTGCTGT